CCCCACATGAACACACATAGAGCCCCCACATGAACACACACATAGAGCCCCCACATGAACACACATAGAGCCCCCACATGAACACACACACACATAGAGCCCCCACATGAACACACACATAGAGCCCCCACATGAACACACATAGAGCCCCCACATGAACACACACACACATAGAGCCCCCACATGAACACACACATAGAGCCCCCACATGAACACACATAGAGCCCCCACATGAACACACACACACATAGAGCCCCCACATGAACACACACATAGAGCCCCCACATGAACACACACATAGAGCCCCCACATGAACACACACACACATAGAGCCCCCACATGAACACACACATAGAGCCCCCACATGAACACACATAGAGCCTCCACATAAACACACACACACATAGAGCCCCCACATGAACACACACACACACACATAGAGCCGCCACATGAACACACACACACACACATAGAGCCCCCACATGAACACACACACACACATAGAGCCTCCACATGAACACACACACACACATAGAGCCCCCACATGAACACACATACACACACACAGAGCCCCCACATGAACACACACACACATAGAGCCCCCACATGAACACACATAGAGCCTCCACATGAACACACATAGAGCCTCCACATGAACACACACACACACATAGAGCCCCCACATGAACACACATAGAGCCTCCACATGAACACACATAGAGCCCCACATGAACACACACATAGAGCCCCCACATGAACACACACATAGAGCCCCCACATGAACACACACACACATAGAGCCCCCACATGAACACACACACACATAGAGCCCCCACATGAACACACACACACAGAGCCCCCACATGAACACACACACACACAGAGCCCCCACATGAACACACACACATAGAGCCCCCACATGAACACACATAGAGCCCCCACATGAACACACACATAGAGCCCCCACATGAACACACATAGAGCCCCCACATGAACACACACACACATAGAGCCCCCACATGAACACACACATAGAGCCCCCACATGAACACACATAGAGCCCCCACATGAACACACACACACATAGAGCCCCCACATGAACACACACATAGAGCCCCCACATGAACACACATAGAGCCCCCACATGAACACACACACACATAGAGCCCCCACATGAACACACACATAGAGCCCCCACATGAACACACACATAGAGCCCCCACATGAACACACACACACATAGAGCCCCCACATGAACACACACATAGAGCCCCCACATGAACACACATAGAGCCTCCACATAAACACACACACACATAGAGCCCCCACATGAACACACACACACACACATAGAGCCGCCACATGAACACACACACACACACATAGAGCCCCCACATGAACACACACACATAGAGCCCCCACATGAACACACACACCCACCCACATAGAGCCCCCACATGAACACACACATACCCCCACATAGAGCCCCCACATGAACACACACACACCCACACATAGAGCCCCCACATGAACACACACACACACACATAGAGCCTCCACATGAACACACACACACATAGAGCCCCCACCTGAACACACACACACAGAGCCTCCACATGAACACACACACCCCCCACATAGAGCCCCGAGGAGAGGTCACGTGGCCGACAGGTTTTCACCCAGAAGCCCCTCATGGGACCAATCTTCACGGTTTCCTGCGACCAGGGAACCGGGCGACCTACCCCGAGGCTAACTCGCACCGCGGCGCCGTGACCTGGGTTGTAGTCACGTGGTCACGGCGGGGCTGCTGAGCCACCGCGGATAGAGAACACCCACACTCGACACGGCTCAGCAGGCAGGTAGACGGTGGGGCAGAGTAACGAGCGGCAGGGAAGACATGGGGCCCGCCTCTCCGTGTAGGACTGTGCGCCGGTTCAGAGGGGCACGAAGCGGACGTCGGCGAGAGCACCAATCCGATTATCAAAAGAGTGGGAAATCCGCGGCTCCTGATTGGACGAGAGGCCAGGGGACTGGCAGCGCGTCGCCTTTGATGCAGGGACATCAAAGGGGTGGACCAGGTAGTGAGGAGCAGGCGTGTTCTTCAAGGGGTCAAGATCGGAGGAGTGATCGCGCCAGCCACTGGATCGTCCGTGAGACGAGTCCCAGCGCAGCCAGGCCCCGTTCCCCACGAAGACGACGTGCAGCATCGCCCTTCCACGGCTTCCTGCACAGACGGAGTAGAACCATGAGCACGTGAGAGAGGTGGGGGTTAGCGTAAAGCCTCGGGGGATTCATTAGAATTAGACGAGGTGGGTCGGGTTTAGACCTGTCGGGAGACGGGTTAGTTTTACCCTACTGATTTCGGCTCTGGGTCACGTAATATTGACTCGCAGACGCGCCGGAAATAAACTCTAGAATAATATACCAACGCCGTGTGGTCTCCGCGGTGTTGAGGAGTCCCGCCAACATTGTGCCCTGTGTTTGCGCGCGAGTGCGTAGTTTACCCACGTGCTTACGCCCGCACGTGCGTGTTCACGCGGGTCTTAAGGCGCATGCCTGGTCATCCGTAGCGTGCTGCTGCCCTGGGAATGAACGTACAAGCCCTCCGATCGTTAATTCACTATTGCATGGGGCGGCAGCGTCGTGTGGTGTTGGAGGTGCTTCGCCCGCGCCAGTGCGTGGACGTGCAGGAGCAGCGGCGCTCACGGCACGCGCCGCGCGTGTAGCGCGTACAGATTAATTGGCGAGCGGGTATTCCGCAGCCGCAGCTTAATTAGTTGATTCCGAACGGCTGCGACGGTAAATAAAACAAGATTACGCAATTCAAGCGCGTGATGCTGCTGGCGGTGGTTGCCGCGTGTGTAGAGCTGCGCCGTGAGGTACCCGGGTACCCACGTGCATAATCATACAGCGGTTGTTGTGGTAGCGGTAGATGTGGTTATTGTGGTGGTGGGCATTGTGGTTGCTGGCACGGCTAGTGGTGCTCGTGCTGCGCCGCTGTCGCGCATCTTTACACGGCTATTCATAGCGCGAGTCGTAGCGGACGAGGGGAGCGACTTGCGGGCAGCTGCCGCGCTACCTTTAGCGCGTGCACGTGGTGGCCAAGAGGCGCGGGTGGCCGCGTGTGGCCGAGTGTGGGCAGCGGCGTGGCCGGGCACGCGTGTGCCAGGAGTCTTCTCCGAACATTTGGGGGGAATGCACGCGGGGAGTGTGTGTGAATGACCCGAGGTGGCCGAGAGCCAGCCAAGAGACGTGTCTCACAGGGGCTACGCGGAGGCAGCGAGGTCGAAGCTACGAACGGCAGCAACGAGGAGGGAGTAAGGGGGAGAGGAGTCGAGGGGGCAGCAGCCTCAACACAAACACACGGTGGCCAGAAAGGGGACAGCCAGATTATGTCCAGCCCATGCCACGCAGATAGGTAACACGATTAATTATAACGAGAACCAAAAAAAACTGGCACGGCGGGTGGTGTCGCGCAAGGCGGATTTGTGAATTCCAAGATATACTCGGGGAGACGGGACTACGGCTGTGCACTTTTCTCACGCCATCTCGGCTGGGATTTTTTTTGCCCCTTTAAATTACGGTAATTGGCCTTCCCGTGTTGTAACTAATTAATCCAATTGTGAGCTCGACGTGTAACCGGTTATTATAGCCACGCGTTTACGGATTTTGTTTATGCAGTTTATTCCGTTCACGTAATTAAGCTGATCGGCAAATTATGTAATTTTAATTCGCGGTTGCGCTGTGACTCGTGGTAAGGATATTTGTTGATGTGGTAATTGAACATGATTTTTAATTACAGAACGATTGCCTTGCTTAACGAGTGGCACGTGTTGAGTAAGTATGAGTTAAAACATGTTAAACTTTACTGGCTTTGGAGACAAGTACTCTGGAACGCATCATTAAAGCAAATTCTCATCGGAATCTAAATTGAAGGCTACCGGTTCAAAACAGGTCCCTGCAGGGTGGGCTGGTAGGACAAGTCTCTGCGCTGTCTATTGCTGATTTTACACCCAACAGCACGATATTTCACTTCGTTAAAGTATTGAAAGGGGACGGACGGATTAATCTATTGCAGGCTGGTACACTCGGTTTACAACTTCGTTCCTACCAGTATAAATCACCACTGAAGTTAGGCATGGGATGGAATATAATTTGAGATGGCAGGATACATACGGTAGTACTATAATTTCTGCGCCACCGCTTTAGAATTAATGTAAACATTGTAAATCCCCAATATTTTTCTTTGCAAAACTCTCAAATGTAAAAGTGCAGCCCTGCAATTTCTCACACGCCACTGACGGTCCCTTTAAGGCAATGGTCTACTTTCCCTTTGACCAGACGTCTCGGAAGATGTGGAAGTACCCACACATTACCCCACCACACCAGACCTGTTGATTGATTAAAGGCAGGAGGCATTTAAGAAAATTGACGATTATTTCAACTGCAGTGCCAGGGAGACTGTACCGGCGACATTGGGATTGGTTGGGTTCGGTGTGCTAACCATTATACAGTGGCATTATCCCCTACTTGATATCAACACAGCTGTCCTGAACTAAACGAGTTTTATAATAAGAAAAGGCGTTTCACCATCATGAAATAATATACTATTTTGGGCATACGTTTTCCAGCCGAATTTTTAGTAGGCAAACCCTGGACAAGTTTTGGCTTTACGAGTCTCATAATGGTGTAGCTCTCTAACCAACTTTGAGGTTGGCTCATTTTGCATAGAAGCATCTCCTTCACAAATACCACGGGGCCTGTTCAACACTGCACAAAACACGTTTTGCTGGGCAATGGCAGTGTATCCTTGACTGCCTACAATTCAGACTTTTTATGTGGACACAAACGTGTTGGTCATGGACATCTTTGTAACAGGAGCTAGCATTCAGATAATATCCGAGCCTCACCGTTAAGCCAGGTTGAATGTGTTCTTGTTGTACGCATTTAACTTAATAAAAATGTATAATTAAAGGAAACTTTCCATTGTCCCACACACAAATGTTTGCCACACGTTTATTACACAACATACCACAAATCCACAAATTATACAAAACTGGTCTTCACATGGAAACCAAATGTACTGGTGGTAAAAAAAAATAACATTACTTTATTTGAAGAAAATATTTACATTTCATAGTGTACATCGCTCCACGTTAAACACAAAAATAGACTTTTAAAGCCAACCTCAGAATATTAGTCGAGAAATTAGGGTTCATGAGCTACATTTCCTTCAGCTCGTTTTAGGAAATCAGTGTTTCATGCCTAGCTAAGAAATGTAGATATTCTTAGCTACTTTAAAATCAATCTGTTCCCTTGTATAATAAGTGTGTCATCCGATTGTCATAATTCAATGTTAAAATTCAACACACCTACAACAGGGATAAGTTTATCCACAAAACTACTTTAGACCATCAACAATTTACGCTCCCTTCTGTGACGCTGAAAGCAGGCATGTAATGATGCATCAAATCATTGATTCCCATTGCTCATAATACATACATTTATTTGTGCGTGTGTGAGAATCTATTACTTTTGATTCAAGTTACTAAACTACCCACAGCCTCCTGTAATCCAGGCAAGGTAGTTAGCATCTTGCCATCAAGGCTACATGACCCCTGCAGCCAATACATCTACAACAATAAAAAAAGTTATGTCATCATTTAGTGATGGGGGTGAATCATTACACGCGTGATGGACGGGGTGACAGTGGAAGAAGTGAACCCTGTAGAGGATTTGAACCCATGAGTAATTCCCACCAGCCAAAAACCACGCATAATGAACATGTTTGTGGTTTATTGTAACGGTTAGTTTCTACTTCTAACTTAAAAGCTAATCATATGCCTTATAACAATGTAAGTTGACGCCAGTACACAAGACAAAGACTCAACGTTTGTGAAAAACAAGAGTAATGCATAATTAGCCAGTAAGTTCAGTAGCCAGGAAAAAACTTTAAAAGCCATTACCCTTGACATAAGGAAAATAATGAAAAACAAAACAAATCTGAGAAAAAATGAAAATACAAATAATAAGGTGCATTTTTATGTTTTCCTGAAAAAAGCTTAAATCCAGTTTGTATCATGCTCTGCGAGTCATTTTATTTTTATGGGGGTGCTTATCTTAAAAATTATAATGGATGTGAAGCACATGCCTGAAAAATGTCATGGCTGGACCAGGAAAATGAGCTACCCCTAACCTAATCCTTTGAGTCCCCAATTCCATCTGCATTGATGGCAAACATTGCCTCTGATTCTGGGAGGCACGGAGAGTCATATATCTTGCATATTCGGGTCTCTCCACGTCCCTTGCGGAAGTACAACCTGCACGCACGGCAAAATAAGTGATACCAATTCAGCTTTACACAAATTGTGATGCCCAAGTTACTATATGAATAACAACTTAGCATATTCTAACTTCAGCCTGTTCGACATACTGTAATCGTTCAACCAAGTTTAGGAATTGCAATAGGCTATTAATTTTTAATATTCAACATGCACAACCACTCTACACTGGTAGAGGCAAAACAACTTTAACCAGATTTTATTTTTAATAGATATCAGAATATTTATCCAAAATAGTTATTTAAACGTTTGATAATAGAGATATTACTAAGTGGTATTACCACACTGAATATTGTATTTATTTTTACAAGTTACTGTGATGCCACAATCACACTGAGAATATTTATTTACAAAACCAAAGCGTTATTGAAAATGGTATTAACAAAATATGTTCCACTATTGAACACAATTATCATGGTAATAGGGCAATACAGTTAAAGACCCTTGCTCCAAGTCTGCCGTTTTCCTTCTGAAACTTGCCTCGTGGTAGACGAGTGAGCCATGATGTTTCCCCCGATGGGCTTTTTGGGATCAGCTGTAAACATTGCAGCTCCATCCACCTGAGCCACCACTTGATTGGTAATGACTACTGCCACACCAAACTAAGAGAGACAATACAACAAATACTTTTGTTATTTCTCCATTTCAGACAAATGAAGAAAACCTCCCGTTTCGGTCTTAAACTAGGAACGAATTATGCTGGAACTAGTAACGAATTGGCATGTTTTGTTTAGTGACAAACCTTACTACACTAAACCCTTGGTTTAACGGACCCCCATTCAACAGATCTCGGATTTAATAGACAAAATCTGCTGAATCTAAGTTTTCTCCGAAGATCAGACAACAACCGACTTTGCCCCATTACCGGACTAAGTCCGTCTGGTCAATATTAGCTTCTTCCCCTTAATGAGTACAGTATTTATTACACTACACATTTTAATAGGTACAGTATTTATTACACTACACATTTTTTTTTGGTTTTAAATAAGTCAAAATAGGAGAAATAAGTGGAAAATCAGTTGTACAATACATTTACAGTACTTTGCTCTTTACAAATATTTTACTGTATTATTAATGTACAGGTATTATTACACTATAATTACCATGTTGATTTTTTATTTTGAAAGGCATTACAATATTTTATATTTATTATTGAACTATCAGTAAATAGTTCGCGTGTGGTAGGGTGTGATTTAGTGCTCAAATGTGTAATTTGGCCATTAACGGACAATCGGATCCTACGGACACCCCTTTCCCTCCTATTTGTCTGTTAAGCCGAGGGTTCACTGTAATTGGCTGTGTCGGGTGGCGGCGGGTTTAACGACACATTTATATTGACGCTATCTAACCCAAAAACCTCTATTATGGATATTGGTTGTGAAAGCCCACGTGTTATACAGTACTAAGATTCTTCAGCAGAGGACATTTCTTGTAAGCAAGTAGAAGTAGGCAATGGAATGGAGTTTGTAATAAGGCATCTAAATAAAGCCCTCAGCTACCTCATCTGCAAGACGCAGCAGCATGCGGAGGAAGCGCGCCAAGTGCATCTGCCGAGCGGCCAGCTCCCCGCGGCCCGAGTAGTCAGTGCGGTACAAGGCGGTGGCGCTGTCAACTATAAGCAGGGCATACCTACGGAAATAAAACACATGGTTTTGTTAGTGCTAGACAGTTAGGAACCATATCCATGGGTTTCCCCAGCACCAGTGTAAATATTGACAAAGGGTAGCAGTTATGTAATGATTGACCCACACCAGCAATTATAATTGTGTCAATTCAATGTCGCGATTCAATTGCAGAATTCTTTATTTTGTCTCTCATATATTTTCATCTTATTTTGTACTGTTTCTTAATACATTCTCACATGTTAGAATTGATGCAAGTATTGAGCATAATTGTTTCTAATCCATCGTTGTTTTTACATGCCTACTCGCTAAACCAATACGCAATGGCATATATAGAAAACTTTCCCAAGTTGTGAACCACCTTCAAACTCAAACATTATTATAGACCCTGAGTAACCACGGCTTAATGTTAAGAGTGCAATAGAAATTTAATCAGCAACAGCGTCATACCTAGACTCGGCCATCATTGCAGATGCCTGGTACAGCAATTGAGTCTGGTGGTCCGAGTTGTACGCTCGTGCGTAAGCCACGTTGTCCAGAACATCGCTCCCAGAGAGACCAAATCTGCGCACACACAATTAATTGGCAGTGCATTCATATTTAAAAACTGTCATAATTAGCAAACATTGTTTTTGTAACGCTTGAAATTATCCTTCAGGTGTGGCAAATAGCAAATACAATATATACAGTCTACACATTCATTTGTTTGCTCACAATACAGAATTATCTAAATTATTTCCATTTATTATGTTTATTAGACTTTGTGCATGGTGTCATGCTGCTGCTTAATCTGCCCAAACTCTTGTTTTTCTTTCATCTAATTTCTTCCTTTCTGCATTTTCTGAAATGTTTATTTTAAGATGCTTTAGGGTCAACACTACGTAACTTTAAATTGCATGTCACCAAATCACTCCAATGTGCCCAATCTCATCAGATCTCACCAGATCTAGAAGGCTTAGTTGGATATTGCATGACTGTGGAAACCATACTTAACCACTGTTATAGGGTGATGCAGGGCTACATCGTGGGCAATAAGGGCAGTGCAGAAATATCCGTTTGTTGCATTGTCCTTCTATATTAACAGGTCTATGCTACCCACCTTCACCAACCCGCACTGACCAACAAGGTGTTGTATCGTCAAGATAGCCTCCATCACCAGCACGGTGTGGGGAGGCGCTCATCCAGTCGTGGATTAACAAAGTGCTGTCTGTACACTTGCATCATTTCAAATTATTATTCATAATTTTTACGTGTTATATTTTTCTAAGCACACTCTCTAAAATACCCAGAGATTACCAACCAGTAAAGTGACCACAAAGTGAATGTATATTTAAACAAAGAAACACATAAGCACACAAACATACGTTTGTGCGCATTTTGGCATTGGAATGCAAAATGGCAATAATGTGCTTGGAGACCAAAAACATCACTTTGGGGTAAAAAAGTGCCAATAAAGAGTCCCATGGCGTGAGTGTAAGCAGCAAAAGTTAAATTGCACCAAGAGCAAGGAGCCTGCAGTCTGGAGGCTTCGATAATAATAGGGTCAACCCCCACTTTTGCAACGTACGAGCTGTGGGTACACACGCGAGTGAAAATAAAAGGAAATTCGTGCTCTTTCCCCTTTTACTGTTTCTATACAACATAACTTTCCTAAGGGTATAATGACTTATAACCCTTTATAGTTTCACATAAAAAATAGAAACCATTGTTTATATATTTTCAATGTGCATTTAATGTTGGACAGCACATGAACAACACTACCCTAAACTCAATACAATTTATAGATGTTGAGAATTAACTCTTTCACCAATTAAAATGTCCATAACTTTTAATCAGCATTTCTTTTAAGGTAAGGGTCCAACCCCGCTATTGTTTGCTAACAGCACTGCTGGCAGAAAGGCTTCCCAGAGAGGGAGCTCTATATAGCCCCTCTAGAGGGTATGTTTGGCAAACTCTTTCCTGATGGCCAGACATCCTGAAAGGGTAGGGATTACTCACAATGTACCTCACCGCACATGGCCAACTGTTGTGTAGCCATTTATACTGCTGGGTGGACAGAAGATGGGGATTTAAAAAAAACTGGCACCATTGTTTAAGTCGGAAATCCAATTGCGCTAACCACGATGGAAGTTATAAAAACTGCCATCTTTACATTTATTTTAATTTATTGTTACTACTACAGATGTTTAAAATTAAAATTTAATGCACTACATAATTCGATTTTTTTTCAGTTTCTGTTCAATCTGCTGAGAAAACAACTAAGGAGGTGCCCAGCAGGCTGAAAAACACCATTATTTACACTCTCAATCAGATCACAACAACCAAATTCATCCTTGCTCAGCACCAGACCTTTCAGCGACTGCGAGCAAGCGTTCTGGACGGAATGTGCCTTCTGTGTCCACGTACATGGCCTTTCCCTCTCCACCACCCCGGTCAATTGGAAGCTGTTAAAAGGAAGTCAATGAATGCAGAGAGAGAGGAAATGAATAATGTGATTAAAATCATTACTTGAATACAAATGTCAGCATATTCAAGCTCATGTTTATTTTTAATAAGTGCCAATAAGCAACGTCTTTTTCCAAGCCCCTCATGACTACTGTGCTTTGTAGTAAATGCAAATTATGTTCTACAAAGAGTTGCAGACAAGTTTAATAACTGGACACACCATACTTCTTGGCAGAATAAAGTACACAAATGTAATAAATGTGAACTCAGGAAAACTTTAGATAAAGGAATGAAATCCAACAAAATAAAAAGGCATATACTGCCATAATGCACAATAGAGTACTTTGGTACATAACTAAATATAGAGACTCTTTTAACACATATCACAACCCTTGATTAAATCTGGGTGGGCTACAAGTCCAGTCTGTTCATCAGTGTGAGTGAGTTCCAAGCTCCAATTTCCATCTCTGCACCCCCTTAATTATAAAGTAGTGTTAAACGGGAATATTATAAGTACACAATAAAATGTAATTAAGAATGTCCAATGTGATATTTGATGGCTATCGCAAATGGTACACACGTTGTATTAATGATTAAAAGATAAAGGTGATGATACAGCATTATTAAAGGCACCGATAATAATTATGATATAAGACAGCACCTGACAGGTCACGGCCAAGGTGTGGCAGAGCTGCGTCTTTCCTGTGCGAAACTCTCCAAACAGTTCCGTGATAGATCCAGTTTCAATTCCTCCTAATGAATAAACCAAACCGACAACCATAATTACGACAATTCATAAACGGATAATCAGCTAATCATACTTTAGACATCGAACATAGAAAGTCACTACAAGTGTACCCTTTCAGATGCAGTTCTGCAGCCATCTGCAAATCTTCAACTTCCGATATTAGGAAGCCACTGGAGCTATGCACTTTTAAATCTAAATTGAAAACTCATTTCTTTATCACTGCTTTATGTGTTTAGTTTGCTGTCCTTCACCAGCATCTCCGAATAGCACGGTTGTCTACGTAGTGCGAAAGAAGTTCAACATACATAGAAAACAACCAGTAAGAGGGAAAGTGAGATGCTAGTTGTGTATGCTCTTGTGTCTTGCCTTGAAGAAGTTTATCCAGCTCTTTGGATCCTGTGCTGATCTGAATGATCTCTGAGCGTCGCTGGTGAAACTCTGTGGCTGTTGTGAAGCCCATTGGCACGAGTTTAGCTGCCTCTGCCTGTTACAAAAAGTGGAGATATAGTTACAGTCGTGAAGAGTTAATTGATGAGATAAAACTGCAACATGAATGCTGATCCTGATTCAGGTTCTGTGCGGTGAAGAGTTACAATTTGTACAACTTTTAAAAAATACATTGTTTTCGACATTCCAACCTTATGATATTAAAGGAAACAAAACATACTGCAATAAAGATATTCACATTTGGCATTATAATAATTAAAATAATCTGCCATAACTCATAACAAAAAAAATAAAACTAAATGAAAAACTTGATCTGGCTAAAGCAGAACGTCTGCCAAATTGATTATACAGGAACAAATGTGAGTGCAGAATTTATCTAAAAGATATTAAGCATAAGACAATTACAATAATGGTAGCCAATTATTTTCAATATTTGAAGCATTTGGTTGACTTCTTTGGGAGTGCAGGAAGAATTCTCAATTTTACATTTCAAACAGGCCGTCAAACAATGGAAAACAAAGTAGAATGGCCAGCAAAACAGTCGGTGGGGTGGCTAAGGCACAAACAGAATGACAAGAGCCAACAACGGTGAGAACAGCATGACCGTAGAAAGTGTTTACATGTGCATTTTACTATGGGTTGGAAATAAGCAATAAGCAAGGCGAAACCTTGTACACGGTTTATGGAAATGCGATGCAAAAGCATTGCATCGTGTAGCTGGAATAACAAGTGCAAGTAGATTTTCTGCAGCCAGGGCAACACAAACAACAAACAGCATTACTTTGAAGGTAATGTAATTTAAGAGCTATACAACCGCATTGTGAAGTGATTTTACTTGGCCAAGCACTGTATAATTTAAGTTAAACACGATTTTGCAAACCTTATAAAGGCATGTTCCCATACCAGCATTGTTCGCTCCTAGCCAACTACCATGAGGATTTTTTCATGTTATGACAATTTCAAACTCTCATCAGTGCATACTTGCCACCAATGTGTTCACTAAATCAGAATTAACATGGGGGTGGATTTACAGGCATATGCTAAATGTAACCTCATTCGAACCACTCTCAGGTCACATATTTGCACCTCTTCACCTTGGCCTATGCCGCCAAGTCTCACCGCGTGGTAACAGATCACGTCCACCACAAACGACAGCATTGTTAAAGTGCGGTGATCGCCCATGATTACCATTCCTGTATAGCTCAATCTCATGGAGCTTTAACAGCACCAGACCAAACAATCCCACTGCGTTGCAAGATAGCAGAACAGAGTGTGCTTTAATTCAACATCTGCCTGTAAATGTATTATCATGGACTTAAAAACAATTCCAAATTTCTACATTAATTTAGAGTACTGTATGAAAATTACTTTTGTTTGCATGTTTACTCACAATGAAATAAAATTCAACAAAATGTAAAAAATGCAGACTAATAAATTCGTTTCTGCGTTCAAAAAGCTCTATGGGATCGGAGATGAAAAGACAAGGATGAAGGCAAGAGTTGTATCCGTCTCAGACAAGCTGAAATGAAATCGACTCAGACGACAAGGATATGTCAGAAGAAAATAGGAATTCGAGATCGGAAGAACGGTTATAGACGTGGCAGCACCAGGGTGTTAACCGAGAGGCTGGCAGTTACCAACTCCTAAAAGCAAAAAGTTGCCAAATTAACCTCACAAAGTTGCTAGATGTTGCCAGATTGACCTCAAGTCGTCAAAATAACACTAGACAATTTACCTAGAATTAAACATAGTAAACTGTTAAAGGATCCTTAATACATGTAGATGTAGGAGTAATTCCATCTATCTTTGGAATTGCACCAATATATCTGCAGGTCCTCATCTCAGAAAGTCGCTCATTTTGTCATGCATTGCTTTGAAAAAAAAAACAAGGAAACTGAAACAATATCTAGTGACCATATTGCAAAGTTTACAATACTGGAGGCAGGCCTTTGAAAATAATTGGTAAGAGGTAGTGAACCAGGACATGAAGGGCAGTGGAGTGAATGTGGAGATGGCCCAGGATAGGAATGAGTGAAGAAAAGGAACAGGAAGGCAGATCCCACACGAGTGAGACAAAAAATCCTGGAATGATTCAGTTGAAAACCCAAACCATTTGCGAAAGATGCACGGGATTGAAAACAAGGTAATGAATGACGATCTAAAACAACACTAAATATACTCATGGCTCACAAACCGACAGTAATTTCCTTTCAAACATGTTAATAGGTTGGATGTCTTTGTATTGACGGGCTAGATGTCCTTCTCGCTCAGTCACCGATGCTGCGACATACTAGGCAAGCCACCGATGCTGCGACATACTAAGCTCGTGCATTGACATGCTAATCTCGCAGAATACAATAGCCACTTCCACAGCCTCAGAGAGACCATCTCTAGCCCTGCCCTTTTACCCTGAGGCTGCACCCATCTCAGGCCTATACAAGACCTTGTTTCAGTAGCTTTCTCTCTCTCACCTGAAGACGGTCGCTTGTGTTGCGATCGAAACGTCGCGATCTATAAATTTTCTATCTACGTGACTTTACCGAAAGAACCAAAGAGTATGTGGGGGTGTGATAAATAATGCATTTGAAAAATTTTAAAAAGCTATTGAGACACAGGGCCCGATAAACTTGGGCTGTCCATTTTCTATTAACTCACCAATATCTTGTCAGCCTTCGCCTCACTGATGCCCTTTATGTTGAGCAGTTCTTTCTTTGGGGCGTATGCCACAGCCTCCACAGTATGGAAGCCAGCCTCCTCCAGTTTCTTCACATCGTTGGCACTCACACCACATTGCTGCAAAGGAAAGTCACAAATACTCCCTTTTTGAATACACACTTATAACAACTATACAATAATGTCAAGTAAAGTTAAACAGATGGTAAATTAGTGGAATTTAAGTATCCACCATTTACAAAACTGTACTTTGCTGGAGCATTTATAACGTGTTGCAAATTATTTGAAAGTTGGGCAATTAAATTTTAGGAGCTAGTTAAATTACTGATATATCAAACGCACGCATACATAGCATTCAAAGCAATTAGATAAATGTAGCAACTCAGAGGCTGGTTGTGTATAGCATCGTAAATGATTATTCCCCATATACTGTTTTAAATATAAAAATTGCGGAAAATTCCTCTGTTTTATAACCGGACGAAGGTATATTAGTCAATAAATATCAACATTCCTGCATGCATTTGACATGTGAAAAGCGTAATCAATTATATATTACTAACGGGAAGTACCCGGCATTGCCCAGGGGAAAATATATATTTCCAAACTTCTCTTTAAAACATAATATATACATACACAAGTACTAAGCCATTGTGAAAGCCCAGCGTTCCGTTTGTCTGTCCATTTGTCCATCAACAAAATTATAAGAGGCTTGAAGAAGTCCCCAATCAAAAGTAATAGAAAGTGGCGGGTAAATTAGTTGATCTAAAAGGTTTCCGAAAATTGTCGACCTCCCCCCCCCCCCCCCCCCAAAATTTTTTTTACCCCCCCCCCCGTAGGCATATATACCTACACACCCTACATACAATAGTGAGTAGTATCTAGTGACTCTATAGTAGTATCTGGCTCTACAGTAGTTTCTACTGACTGTATAGTAGTATCTACTAACTCTATAGTAGTATCTACTGACTCGATAGCAGTATCTACTATCACTACTGTAGTATGTACTGGCTGTAGTAGTAGCTACTATCACTACAGTAGTATGTACTGCCTGTAGTAGTAGCTATACTCGCTCTATAATAGTACTAACTTGACTTAAAGCTTTCGTGACTGCAGGAATTCATATTCTTGGGTCTTTCGGTAAAGTCATGTAGATAGGTTCAAAGAAAATAATGTTATTTTTGTTATTTTCTTTGAACCTATCTACGTGACTTTACCGAAATACCCAAGAACATAGTACTAACTTCACAGAGTGTAGTGGTGAGGCCTAGTCCCGTGCAGAGCCCCCCGCCTCGCCGACGTTGCCCAGCTGGCCGAGGTTGCCCAGCTGGCCGAGGTGGCACCTTTGCAGGCTGGGGCTGGGCTGCTACCCCCGCCCGCTCTACAATAATATTATCTAAAGACTATAATAGTCGTATCTACCGACCCTATAGTAGTAAGTGCACACGTTGGGGAGAAGAGGACATCACACTGTGAAGAATTTACCTCAGCGTTGTGTATTTTTTAGCTGCATTTTAACAGAATGAGAATTCCCCCCTCGCCCCACCGTTCGCGTGTGTGCGTTGCTAGGGAAACCACCGGTTGGGGCGAATAGCGGCGATGGCGGGAAAAATCTGAACCCTGTCTGGGCCTCCTCGAGGTCGACTCAGCCTGAAGATGCCGACACGGGGCTGTGTGAGGGAAATGTGAGCATGAGGAAGACGACGTTTTTGCCACCCAATGTTGTGCAAGTTTGTTGCGGTTGCACCCGATTCAAGAGCCGAATGGCTCACAGGGCTATACCTAATAAATTAACTGAACCACCAGGAAAGAGCCTGCTTTCTCGCGCATGCACAGATGCGTGCTCTGGCGCCACCCTGTGCTTAAAGAAGGGAATACATTTTGATTTAACTACAGTGTATTCTTGGTTCTTTCGGTAAAGTCACGTAGAAGGGAAACAATAAAAGAATAAAAAAAATAAAACAATAAAATTCTCACGACGTTTCGACTGCAACACAAGCAATCATCATCAGGTGTGAAAACCACAGCAAGAAAAAATTCTCACGACAATGATGGTTAAAGATTAAATCAAGTCAAAATGTTTAATATTGTTACCTCAAGTCTTGAAGCAGGTTGAGGCCCAAAAGACTCCTCCTCAACTTCACTCACTTCGTGTTGAATTTGCATGGCCATTTCTGACCTGCGCAACAAAAACAGATACAATTCGGATCTACATAGCATCTAAATGACACCGTAGCTCTAGATGGTGCAACAAAATGCGGGCTTATTTATTGTATGGAGAGCCAGTCAATCATAGGCAGAGGGAAAAGATTTACGCCTTGAGCCGGAATTTGAGAAAGGGTATGGAGTCAACAACACAGATGACTGGGGGGAGCTCCGGACTGTGAAGGTAGCAGAAGATAGTCACAATCCAAGACAAACTGCTTGTGTACAATTTTCAAATAAGAGCTATTCGTTGTTTAGGTTGCATATTCACTCAATGTCCTTTTAAGATGGGACATATTAAACAAAACAGTAACATTGAAGGGTTATTGTATACGTTTTTAATGTTATGCATTACTGTGCTTTAAAGTAGGTATACTTGTGATGAATCCAACACAATGTAATGTTACATAATTAACATATCAAGGATTTAATGTGGAATAATTGATCGACAATCACAGCACATCTGTACAGTAATGCCATGTAGTTACAAAATCGAGCCCAGGCTTTTGAGGTAGGAGTTTGTGGACCACATGAAGAACAGCATGTGCTTCAGACCCACAATCGTTATTTATCCTGGTTAAATCCGATGAGCTACGCCGCTCTTTTGCACAGATACCCAGTAGGGGGCGGGTGAGAAAGTTCAAATTAACAATACAAACAGCAATAGGAGTTCAAAGTATAGGAAAGGTCAACTTGGGCAAGAAGGCAAAACAGAAAAAAACAGTTCCGGACCACACCAAAACAACACACAGTCGCTCAATAAAATTCCATTATTAAAACTTAACTATTGATACACGGGTACGGATTAAAGTTACCCTTGGCCAACATATATAACCTCTTGTTGTAGCAGCTCTCTCGCTGTGTTCTTCCTGGTTCAGCAGTTCTACTGCTGGATTATTTGTTCCGCCTGAGGACGATCGCTTGTGTTGCGATCGAAACGTCATGATATATTAATTTGTATTTTTCTACCTACGTGACTTTACCGAAAGAACCAAAGAGTATGGATTCCTGCAGTCACGAAAGCTTCAAATCAAGATCCAGGACTAGTCTTCTGCTTCAGGAAGACCCACCAGCTGTGGCAAGGAACGGCATCATAGCACATGTTTCAGACCTGCACGTATTGTTAAGTGACCTCCTCGTATCTAGCCAGGTTAAACAAGTACAGCAATGCAATCTGGACTCAATCTCTTCGGAGCTTTGGGTGTTTTGTCCTCGTGTAAGTGTATTCTTATGAATGGAATTGGCCAAATAATCCCATACAGAACCCTGCTGAATTTCGATTTAAAGCTTTCGTGACTGCAGGGATTCATCTTCTTGGTTCTTTCGGTAAAGTCACGTAGAAGGGAAATAATAAAAATAAAACATAATATAATACAAGTCCCACGTTTCGGCCACAACGGCTGTTTGCGTTGTGGCCGAAACTTCGTGAGAATTGTATTATATTATGTTTTATTTTTATTATTTCCCTTCTACGTGACTTTACCGAAAGAACCAAGAATAAGAACCCTCCTGAATAAGAGCCTCCGAGACTCCCGTGAGTATTTCCGAGACGAATTATCAACAAGGTGGTAATTTCCACCTTATTTTAATCGAAAACCCAATTCGGCTGTGGCTACATTGGCGACGAACATGTTGAAAGGGCATTAACATCATTCAACCTACATAAGTTGTCTGACGATATTAAGTTAAACGCGTGTGGACTGTAGATCCGTTCAGACGAGCAACGGGGAGCATCGCGAACCGCCAGTGGTTGAACATTCCACATTCCAGTGAGAATTCGATGCAAATCTCCAACAGCAACTCGCAACAAAAGCCATACACACACACACTGCGTACTTTCAATTAAAGAACGCTACGATAAAATTTCGATTTAAAGCTTTCGTGACTGCAAGGATTCATCTTCTTTGGTTCTTTCTCAGCGTGGCTTTCTCACTCCAGCGCTGTCCTCCAGACAGTCTCGTCCCCTTCACTTGATGAAGGCCGCTTGTGTTGTGGCCGAAACGTCGTGAGAAAATTATTGTGTTATTTTATTTTATCAATTTATTATTTTATTCTCATTCTACGTGACTTTACCGAAAGAACCAAAGAAACTATACGATAATTATTCGTGAGGTAATTTCGTTGATTTCAACTTTAGACGAAAGCCCGAGGCCGCAGGCCGCAAGTGCGAACCACAAAAGTATCCCCTGTGCGATCAGTTAATGCTGGAATGTTACAATGCACCTGGAGAGATGTTAGCAACAGCCGTTCACGTTCGTGAGTAATAAACTTGCCCGGGGTGCGTCTTCTTCAAGTTGTTGTGTGTTCCGCCGCAAACGAAATCGGAACAAACAGCGGTGTTTGAGAAGCGCGCCAAAAACTCCTAATCGATTCCACAACTGTCGTTTCTGAGATTCGATTCATGTTTTGTTATTACGGTGGACGTAGAATCGATAACCTTGTCTGCGGTTTGCTTAATCGATTCCCCCCGCGCGCGATGACGAGAACGAATCGATTTTATTAGTCGATGCCCATGAATCGTTAGAAGCGCGATTCGGTTATGCAGAATGACTCGATTGTACTGGCAGTGAGTCACATTATTGATGAGTATGGCTTAAACCATCGCTTACCTGAATCACTATTAGTCAGTAATCATCATCATCACACGTGTATTCCAGTCGTCCCTTCGTATTCTCCGATTGTTAAGTGAACGTGCACGTGCACAGTGTTGCTGTCTTGCGTCCGACTTGACAGCCGTCTGTAAAAAAGCTCTTTTTCAAACATTTCCTTAAATTCATAACCATTGGATGTTGTTGACGGTTCACACAAACTTGAGGTGGCTACTATTGATGTAATGACACGATTTCATCAAAAAACCACAGCAACATTCCATTCATGTTTGGAAAATACAATTTGAGAAACAATGGCATGTATGAGACGCATCAATTTAAATCTATGCATCGTGACGTCTAATTGCATTTTACAAGCCTTAAAATGTGCTTTAACATTGCATAAACTGCAGTCAAACACGTCGTGCTTGTGTCTATTTGAAATCAAACCCACGCAGCATGCACACATTGCATCAGGTTTATTGCGATTAGAACACTGCAAATGCATTACAGCTTTGGTGTCCCTTGCATACCACATACATTGATAACAATATCCTGTGTACCGAGTCACCAGATTGTTCCCCATACGTAAAGGTAATGCACTGCAAGTGGATACACGATAATGAACTTGATTACTTAAATGTCGGCGCTTAAATGCGTGCCCGAATATTAAACCTGGTACAGCATTAGAAATCTTTAAAGTAATACGGGAAAAAGCGATTAGGGCTTTGGCGTTGAGAGGTGTAACTTTGTTGTGAAATTCCTCGTATGCTTTCATTTTGTTGACTCGCACCATACCAAACGTAACGCGAGGCCACAGCACCACCTTGTATTTAGAGTGAGATATCAGGTGTGATTTATATTAATGGGCTATTTCAAACCGGAGATCTACGTGATGTTTAAATGATCGTCCACTAACATGTGAATCACACCCATCAAATACACATAACTGAGAAACTGCACATCATTTTTGACTAGCAGTTCAAAATGTATGAACCAACTTGTAGGCGCGTTTAGATTTTACATACTTCTTAGGATAAATACGCTCCCAATTTTCACTTGAAAATAAAGCCTAGATACATTTCTGATTAAATCAATGCTTTATTTCAGATGTACAGTATCTGAAAAGTGCCATCACAGGAAGTAACTGCACTTAATTGTGGTCACTTACACGATTTTCTCACTAAAAGTGCAGTCGCATATCATTTTGACGTGGCGTAATTTTCAGTTAAATTATAAAATGTGTTCACATTTTAATTTTCATGAAAATTCCCCAACAATCTGAAATCGGGCATAAAAAATGGTATCTGAAAAAAGAAAATTAAAAACTCATCTATAATCCATTTCTCACTGCAAATATTTTTTTTCACTCGGTGCTAACATCCCTGAGACAGTGATGAAAATTCTACATTTCTAAGGCTGGTCAGTTGACCCAGAGAGAAAACCACAAAGTGGTACCGCATTATCAACTCGGAGGCACAGAGGACTGAATCAACTCCCAATTTAGATTTTGAGTTGCAATCTTCCGAATACATGCTGTCGGCAGACTTCCGCCAGGCTGCCAGGTTTACTCTCGGTCGTAGGATATGTGTTTGGTCATGCAAGAATTAACTTGAACATGGCAGAAATGCTTTTTTAAAATTAGATTTCGAAATGCAGATGATTTAAATTGCTTTTTATCATTAACTAGCTGTACTACCCAGCTTCGCCCGGGACTTGGATTCACCACACCCGGTCGCCTTTGTCCCCCGAGTGGCGATGTTGACACACCACAGCAGTTACTGTTTTGAGGCTGAGTCGACCTAGGGGAGGCCCAGGACCAGTTAAAATAATCGTCACCGGTGGTGGCCATGAGCGGGAATCGAACTCGGGTCGCCGGGTTCGTAGCGCGGCGCGCTAACCGCTACACCACAATGCACTACGCTTCCACATGCGAGGGCCACGTGACAGATTTGATGTCACAGCTCACTTGCCGTGCAAAAAAATTAATGCATTATTGAGCTCCCCCCCTAAAAAAAGTGTATTTTTATAATTTTTGCATGGTGTAGTCTGGAAAGTACCCACATGGCAAATTTCCAGTTTCTTGCATGTCGGGAAGTACACTAAACATTTTGAACAGACACATTCACAACTTTGCCTTTTAAATATATGGAGATATTCTGAACTAAGTTTAGTTTGTCTTATCTGAAAAGCACAATGATGCTTTAAAAAAAAAAACTTGCCCAGTATAAGATTCGTTACAAAACTTTTGAAACTTTTCACGAATACAATTATTGCAGAAAGTTGGCAGATTTGTGCTTCAGAGTATAGTGACACACATAAATATACATGTGACAGGACAAGTGTATTTAATTCAAAACCATTATTATGCATTTAACAATATATTTTGACACCAAACAACTGACTAGTCAATAAGTCCGAAATCAACACTATGGAGCTTTCCAAACCCAATCAAGTTGTAGTACAGCCTGGACGAACTGCTAAATTACATTCATATTGGTCGAAATATTGTAATTTTGATGTTGCGTATTGATAGCGTAACAAATCTGGAGTTGACGTTATCCGTGGAGTGGTTTTTTATGATGCATTTTCTCCTTGACACAAAACACTTTCATACAAGAGTTATGTTTACATGTTCTCGTGTGGCATTACACATTGTCAGAATTCACATTATAAATGTCCGATGAAATGGCATAGTTTTCCATTTGAAGACAGATTTGTATACAAAGCCACATCATGTGGGTCTTGATGTTGTTTTGGATCTTGGAGACTTCATTCATTTGAACATAGCGTTGTAGGCACGGCCGATGATGAGGCGTCTGACCTCGCTGGTCCCTGCTCCGATCTCGTAGAGCTTGGAATCCCGTAGAAAACGGGCCATTGGGTAGTCATTGATGTAACCGTTTCCACCTAAGTGAAAATGACAAATCAGTAATGATTAATTGATAAGCAGTGCTTCGTCAGGAATGCAGGAATAACGAACTGTAATATATTGAAGTTGACAATCCAGCATGAAATAGATTTGTGAATGATGTACCATGCAGTAATAAAGAAAATATATAGCAAATGACTATTTCCTAGGGTTGTGATAGTGTGCACTTGTGCAAAGAGGTGCAATAACAATAAGGAAAATTTTATGAGACTGGGTTAGATCGCGTAAATATGTCGTTAAAACCCGCCACCACACGACATGGCAAGGGTTGTCACGTAAACAAAACATTCCAATTCGTCACTAGTACAGCACACCGGTGTGTTGGAGAGCCAAGCCACAACATTTACAAACTAAAAATGCAATTTTTAACTGACTGAGTACGACGTTTCGCCAGTACTAGCCAGTACTAGCCAGTACTGGCGAAACGTCGTACTTAGTTGGTAAATGTTGTGGCTTGGCTCTCTCCAACACACATTGGGATTCTTGATGTGAAGCTTTCCTGACTGCAGGAATCCATACTCTTTGGTTCTTTCGGTAAAGTCACTTAGGTATTTTATTTTATTTTATACTTACTTGACTTTACCGAAAGAACCAAAGAGTACACATTGGCATGTTCTGTTTACGTGACAACCCTTACTAGTTGGCTGTGTCGGGTGGTGGCGGGTTTTCACGACACATTTATATATTTATGCGATCTAACCCAAAATCCTCTATTATGGATTTTATGAGATTGTTTAATATAAGTAAAAGTGAATCCCAAAACTTACCAAGGCACTGGATTCCATCAAGAGCCACTTGAGTAGCATTTTCAGCAGCATAGAGAATCACTCCTGCACAGTCCTATTTTAAAAGCATGCATTTCACATCATCAAATGCTGAAAATGTAGTTAACAACTGCCGTACAACATACCAGTAGATCATACAAACTATAACATAAACAATGGGATACTATCCTGCAACACAATGATAAAATGACTTATTCCTTTAGTGCAGTGGTTCTCGACTTTCCCGAATTCCCGATCCACCATCAACACTGAAAAATATATTGCCAACCCCCCATACAGTTAAAAATTGCATTTGCATTAGAACCCAGGACACTTTACAATACAAACTTTGACAACTTTAAAAAACCATTGTCCAATTAATCCATCTCAGGAGAAGCTAATGCAAACAAATATTTGTAATACTAAAATGGAAGAATTTAATTGTTGCTGCATTCCTGAAAAGCCTTGTACAGTTCCAAAATTAGGAAGCATCAAATATTTCTAGGAACCACCAAAGGTTGAGGATGCACTGATGTCTGGCAGAAGATCTCTGGCTTCGATCTTTCGCAAATCTTCTGGACAACCCAACCACATCCTCACAAGCCATGGCAGATGCAGTTACTTTATACACAAATGTAGAATTAAAAACTATCCAGTGTGCAACTGTGGTCACCCAGATCAGACCATGGAACATTTAAAGACACAATGCCCGATTAAGAAATTCGCAAGCATCACAGCAATACACTCCACTACTTCTGACGCAATAATCTGGCTCAATCACCGCAATGTAAGAATTATATTTGTTGCTCTACATCAGGCATGTGAAGAAGTGCTCTGGATATAAAAGCATTGGCGCAAAGGGACAGGGTGTGTGGTGAACTCGCCATGCTGTTGGAGTGCTTTCGGTCACAGGCACGGGCCACGTTGTACACGTACGACCGGCATGCTGCCAGCCTGGTGTGCATGTCTGCCATCTTGCCTTGCATAAGCTGGGTAGAGGGAAAGGGAGAAAGGTAGGTGGTGGGTGTGTATATACTTCATAGAAGCACTTGCCACTCAACAATTAACCTACTATATTGTTACTGGCAGGAAGGCAGGAAGCCTGCAATGCAACACATCTCTTCCTCTTCACAATGACGCTTTTCAGCTCAGCGTCCTCCTCTTTTTAAAATATATCTGTGCATTAGAAGCAACATAATTACATATTGCGTTACATTTTGTTTGTTAATTCGTTTTCGACCAACTGCAGATTTTTTACATAATCTGAACTGTCAATTGCTCCCTAACTTGACCAGTCAGTTTAACACGTAGGCTTTCGCGACCAATATCATCCATAATCGAGGATTTTTGGGTTAGATCGCGTAAATATATAAATGTGTCGTTAAGCCCGCCACCACCCAACACAGCCAACTAGTAAGGGTTGTCACGTAAATAGAACGTGCCAATTCGTCACTAGTACAGCACACCGGTGTGTTGGAGAGCCAAGCAACAACATTTACAATCTGAGTACGACGTTTTGCCAGTAATTACAACTAGCTTCATCAGGTGACAACCACATTTGTGGAGAAGTCCACCTGTTTCGTTCCTTATATAGAGGCGTAGAAGTGTGGTCACCACACTTGTAATTACTGGCGAAACGTCGTCCTCAGATTGTAAATGTGGCTTGGCTCTCCAACACACCGGTGTGCTGTACTAGTGACGAATTGGCACGTTCTGTTTACAAGACAACCCTTACTAGTTGGCTGTGTCGGGTGGTGACGAGTTTAACGACACATTTATATATTTACGCGATCTAACCCAAAAAAACCTCTTATTAACCATTGTCCGTTCTTCATAAGCAACAGAAGGTGGGCCAATGTAGTCTACAAAACACAAGTAGATAAATCACATTCACATCATGTAGGCATTGACGATAAACAGCGAGTCATACAATATCGAAAAAAAGAGTACCTGAAAAGTGCCGATCTTCCGATTGAAAGCTTCCCTGATATGCATGTATGGGATGGCATTGTCCATCACTGCTTGCATTATGCTGTGGAATAATCACAAACAATAACAAAAACTGTAATGACATAACGTATATGACGTGAAGTCAAAATGTACTTGTTTCAAGTCCTTTACCGGATTTTAAGTACTGCTTAGATTAAAAGTGAGCATTACCCCAGTGGCCCTGCTGCAAGAACGAGTCTCTCAAAGTCCAGTCCGCTCATCAGCACATACACACCCTTGTTCAGGCTGCCCAGCACATTCTTTTCTGCAAGTGGCAAGCACACAATGCAGTATGCAAATATAATAAAAGCAATAATTAATAATAATCACTTATATACCCAGGAAACCACGTCGAGTGATAGGATTATTTTCAGGAGGGTTCTGCATTGTAGGTGGTTATATTAATACATTTTCAGCCAAGTATAGGAGTGTGTATGCAACAGGGAAATAGTACAACCACTCCACGTGATAATACAAAATCACAGTCTAAAAGCACATTTCAGTTGGGTATATATATACACACACAAGACTACCTCAACATATTATTCTATCAGCTAGTGTGGGTGTGTGTGTTCACAACATGTTCTGACGTGAGTTTCCTAACAGCGGCACCGACCTATTGGTGGAATAAGTATATTAGATATTTCAGAATGTTGTCCTGGTTAGAGTCTGCAAGTATTTTTAGCAGGCATTTTAAAAAATTCATGGCGAGCCATCTTAGATTGAAAAATCAATAACAAGCAAAATTTAATAACTGATTAAAAAAAACTAATTTTTTTTTATAACTTATAGGATCTGTCCAAGAATGCTGCTTTGACCTAAGAGAAAAAAATAAAGCCTTCTAAAAAATATATATACAAATCCATACCTGGCACCTTGCAGTCCTCAAAGATGAGCTCCGAGGTGCTGGAACCCCTCATGCCCATCTTGTCCAGTTTTTGTGCTGTGCTGAACCCTGGCGTGTCCTACAAAGCAAACATCCACAAACACCATCATCATTATCATCATCATTATCATCAGCAAAAATGTCTCAAACCTCTAGTTCTTTTCACTTGTATGTGTATACACATTATAGAACTGGTTGATGAACTAAGCATAAAAGGTTAAATTATGTTGAAATCGGTTTCCCGTCTCTTCACTACATACGCATTATGCAGGACCTTTCACCGCAATGCACAATACGTTCTGTACTTGTGTTGTCATTTCGAGAGAGGTTTTGAAGTGGTGAGCCAGCATATGCAGTAATGTGGACAGGATGTAGAGATGGCCCCAGACAGGAATTAGTGAAGAAAATTAGACCCCACGAGTGGGAAAACTGCCAGGAATAATATTAACCTTCTCGACGATGAATGCCGTGATACCGTGTGATTCTGGTTTCACATTCAGGTCCGTCTTGGCGTACACGATGAGCACATCGGCATCCGGCCCGTTGGTGATCCAGAACTTGCTTCCGTTGAGCACGTAGCTGTCACCTTTCTTGTCTGCGCGCAGCTTCATGGCTACCACGTCCGAACCTGCGTTGGGCTCGCTCATTGCCAGCGCGCCGATATGCTCCCCGCTGATCAGCTGCAATCCGACGGAGGTTGCAAGCACCGTTATTGATAAACGTAACTCGCTACGGACGTTTTGGGAGGCTTATGGGCAACTCACCATCACAGGAATGCAGAATTTCTACTTGTGGTTCATGACCACCAATGGAGAAAGGCACTGCTCAAGCACTAGCTTGACCTTTATATTTTTGGATGGTTAGACTGCCAGGAATGAGTGCACATGTGCGTTTATTGTTTCATATTGATACAAATATAGCCTGGAAATTAGCAGTGGCAGGGCTTTTGTGAAAGAAAAGTATTTAAATACAACTTTGGTGATGCAATTACATGCATCACAGCTTTTTGGTAAAACATTTTTTTACATCTGAGCCATGATTTTGAATATCTGAGCGTTTGGAATTAACCACCTGGATTATTTTTGAATGGTTAGCAGGTTAAAATAGCATGAACATTAAAGAATGTTTATTTTAACCTCTGGACACCTTTGATTATAAGGGCATGGAACGATGTATCAATTAATAAATTATAATACAGTCTTACTCAAACAAATCTTGCTTTAACTCATGCGTGCAAGACTTGATTATTAACGATTTCTGGAAATCGAACACTAATGTAGATTTCAGCTAAATGAACAAATAAGACTGAAAAAACAAGACAAAACACACGAGAGAAACGGTACAAAGGAGACATGGCAAACGAGAAAAAAATACTTTTTAATGTAATTGAGGTATGTCACAGCATTTTCTGGCTGAGATGGCAAGAACATCAATCTAACGTACCTCGAATAAAGTTGAAAATGTGTATGTTTATTCGAAGGCACCTCCGAGTGGGCGGTCCTTTGTTGAAAGTAGTAGTATACATGTGACTGCTTTATTACTATTTAACACGTAGGCTTTCACGACCAATATCATCCATAATAGTTTATTTTTAGGGTTAGATCGCGTAAATATATAATGACACATTTATATATTTACGCGATCTAACCCAAAAAAAAAACTCTCTATTATGCTTTATTACTATTTAATATTTAGAGTTACTGCTATGCGGTGGTCCGGGTGTGTTAGTGTGCTGCACCTTGGGAAGGTACTTTTTCTTCTGCTGCACATTGCCATTGCGCACGAGCTGGTTGATGCACAGATTGGAGTGCGCCCCGTAGCTGAGCCCGACAGCGGCTGAGGCTCTGGAGATCTCCTCCATGCAGATTACGTGGTCCAGGTACCCACCGCCTGTGCCTCCATCCTCCACTGGGTGGAGGATAAGGACACAGGGAAAATGCAGAACATTGAAATGAGAGTGGAACTTTTATTTGTAACTATCAATGAATGGATGAGTCCTTTTATCACTGGTGAAGATCCATGGTAACAAAAGATGTTCAGCCTTGAAATTGCTTGTTCATGTAATTACGATCAGAAATGCCTCTGCTATAGAGAGCCCCTCTAGAGTGTAATTCGCCTACTCTTCCACCCTGGCCAGACGTATTGTAATTGATGGGAGTATGTACACGGTCCTTCCCAAATGCAACCTGCCAATTAACTAATTGTGGTGCACCCATTTATGCTGCCGAGTTGACAGCAGCGGGGATTTAAAAAACCCACCCAATGTTTCAACTTTTAAACCAGGAGTTCGAACCGGTGGCCTCTGGATTGTCCAGTGTGCTAATCATTACACTATGGCAGCATTCCAGATCCAAAGAACCGTGAGTCTTTAATATCACCAAAACATACTTTTAAACTCTTAAAACTATTGCGGGGGGGGGGGGGGTAATGGGGGTACAGTGGTACGCATACTAGGCTATGATTTTGGTGACCGGAGTTCAATTTCTGGCCACAAATAACACCAGTAGCAAATGACATCCAAATAGGTACAGGACCAGCTATCTTTACCAATCTGCACTGACCAGCATAGTGAGGTATGATGAAATAACCCCCCAGAGAGGGCTTGGAAATAACTTTATCCAGCAATGGAATGACAAAAGCTATACACATTTTTTTTTACCAAAAACAAACCTATTGTTGAGTTCACGATATTGAACAATATTGAAAAACAATTGTAAATAGATGGAGAAAAAAATCCAGTTAAGTTATTGTAAATTAGTTCACTGAAAAACTTAGAAACATGACTTTGGACAGTTAAAAATGTATATTTTATAGGTATAATGTTGAATTTTAGACGATGCTTAACATGCTTTTTTAATGTTAACTTGTGCAGAATTCTGTGTTTTATTGTTAATTAACTTTGTCACATGTACGTAAAAGCTAATGGTGCTAAAGCACTTAAAATGGTTGGGCTGCTTTTGCAAGGCTGTATTCAAATGTCACGAGGAGGCCACTTCAGGGCATATATTACTAATAAGGAATGTAGACGCAAAGGGTACGAGTACAAAGTGCATCGGATAAGCTTGAACTTAACGAAACAACTCTTACAGAACATGAAGAATAGTAAATTCATGTTTAAAATGAGCACATATTAAATAAAACAATTTCGCTGACTGTTTTGTGACATGGATGAAGAACGACACACAGTAGTTACTTTAAAAGCAAGTCAATGACTTTGTTACAGCACATTATCTGACACCTGATATTGCACAGAAAATCTATAGCCCACAACAATGACTCAGCCAAAAGTACAGAAATTACACTGGTTACCTGGTGCTGTGATGCCTAACACTCCCAGATTCCCAAGCTTCTTCCAAAATTCCTGAAAATTACAAATGTGTACAATTATGTTTTACCTTACCCTTCACCATGTTCACATTATATAACATCTCAAAGGGCCATATTCCCACGGCCACAGGAAAGCAAGCTGGCTCGGTTTGTTCACAAGGACAGGTGGGGCTCAGCACAGATTTCTACAGCAGCAGCCTTACTTGGTCAAGCAAACACTAACCGCGCTGCGTGACTTGTGTTGTTATTGGACCACGTGAATACTTTTCGTAAAGAGGAGCTGCATGCTTCCTCCTGAGCATCTCTTAGATACATTCCAGGATTGGTGTTTTTATTATTAAAGAAAAGGTGTAAAATTACAAAAATAAATTTTATCTGAAAATTGTTTAAACATAACTTAAGCGTATGTGTTTCTTGTTAAACTGTTTTGTAAAAAAAATATTACCGTTTATAATATGTTAGAAGGGAGAAGGCCAAGATGGACAGAGCGAGAAGGGTCAAGTCCCCATGGAGCATAATCAGCTCTACAGTGTTCATGATGAGAAACGAGCCATGCTGGGACAAGATTGGAATGGCCCAGCATTGCTCAGGCCTGCTTCCTAATGGTCATGAGAACTCAGCACCGATTACTTTGCATAAAGTAACAATGCAGCCATTTAGATATTCGTCGTATCTTTCTTCATATGAAATGTTAACGTCTTTACAAAACGTGTGAATTAGAAATATGACTTCAGGAACTTATTTCATTAGCTATTCGCAATTAAAATTTACCTGGGTTAGTGCCAAGGTTAATGGGGTTTATAATAGGGTTACATTGGATAACATTAAGGCTTTAGAGGCAAAGGTCATTTAATTATAATATTTTAATAAGGCAAATAATAGCGATGAGAAATGTATTATTATGTGACTTTGTGCTTCTTACCCGAATCTGCTTAAACTCATTTGTTCGGTCAATCTCTTGTGCTATGGGCACCAGGTGTTCCTGACAGAACTTGTACATAGTTTGTCTCAGCTGTAACAGAGCACAATAAACAAACATTAACAGTGAATACGTTTCTAGAGAGAAATAACCAATTCGAGAATGCGGTTGTGACGAAGCTGTAGTTGTCGATGGGTAGTGGTGTTGAATGAGAATATCATCTAAATAATGGGATTATATATTTCTAAAGGCAAGGTAATATACTTATATAAAAAAAATAAGAACTTTGAACATTTAAGTTAGATAGCTATGTCTAATTGATGCAAATCTGTATTGTGTTCCACAAGGTCTACGAATCTGAAATATTTTCGATAACCCAGTTCCTTGGGTACTTTTTGGGAAAAATGATGCTAAAGTCGACAGAAAACGGACAAAGCCCCACTAGCGGCTGCAAGTAATGCAAATACAGCACATATGCAACCCATTTGACACTTTTAGCATTTGCATGCAAATGAACTTAGCTCTGCGCAACGCTCATACGCACTCGGCAAAGGGTCAATTTAGTTCTCAAGGTTGGCCTCTCCAACCGTGACCACGTCACACGGACCCACGAGGTGGCGTGTCTTGTGTGGTCATCATCTCCATTGACACGGGAAGCGCGCGACTGTGAAGTGGGATGGAATTCGTCAGCGAGCGCCGACCAATCCCTGGGCTGGGTCGCACACCCACCCACTTCACACAAACGTCAGTAATTAAAACACACAGTACTGTACAGTGTATGTATGCTAAACGTGTAACCTTTACGTAATATTTTGCCAATCGTTAAAACATACGTGTCAAACGGCCATGGGTTATATCGGTGAAAATTGTAACATTTGTAGGGTCAAACGAAGCGACAAATATGCCATAGAAACCGGCTCAAACTAAAATCTAGTACAGCTGCACAACATATTACCCACAGGATGGACTTTCATGGTCTGCTCTTAGTTCAGAATTGCATGTGTGTAGCGTATTATATCGAGTGTTATAACACTACAGTTATACTAGTTACACAATGGTAATAATGGTTCAGTGCTTGTTTTCTCCTGGTTCAAGTTCTTGGTCATCATCATCAACCATGGTCAATCCACAAGCTTGTCAATTGTAATATAAGAGTCACAACTGTTGTTTAGGACAGAGTAAGTCATAATAACAGTCGTGAATATGCCCGTGCGTGGCTGTACCTGGGCTCGTCACCTGCACAGCACAAGTTATAAACAGTATCACAATAATAGTTACAATGCATCTATTATTAATTAATAGTTACAGCATCACAACCATAGTTCTGAACTTCTTTCGCACCGTAGGTAGCCAACCGTGCTCATCAGAGGTGCGGGGGGGGGTTAAGGACAACAAACTAAACACAATGCCAGTGACTGTTCCTGAGCACCTCACCTACACACAGCATCATAATAATATATTATTATAATTATTATAATATTATATGATAATATTATATTATTATACAGGGGTCTGCAACCTGCGGGTCCGGAGCCGCATGCGGCTCTTTAAAGACAGCTTCGTGACGTTTTTCACCATGGGCTCTTGAAATAATGCGTTTTTCTTCCTGAGACCAAATTCGCAAAAAATGTCTCTGGTTGCAGACCCCTGGTTATCTATTATACCACCAGATACAATTGTTATTGCTATCCATGGTGAGGCCGTGATAGTGATTGGTGAGGGCGTGATGGCGATTGGTGATGGTGTGATGATGAGGGAGTGATGGTGATTGGTGAGGGATTGTGAGGGAGTGATGGTGATGGAGTGATGGTGAGGGAGTGATGGTGATGGAGTGACGGTAAGGGAGTGATGGTGAGGGAGTGATGGTGATGGTGAAGGAGTGACGGTGAGGGAGTGATGGTGAGGGAGTGACGGTGAGGGAGTGATGGTGAGGGAGTGATGGTGAGGGAGTGATGGTGAAGGGGTGACGGTGAGGGAGTGATGATGATGGAGTGACGGTAAGGGAGTGATGGTGAGGGAGTGATGGTGACGGTGAGGGAGTGACGGTAACGGAGTGACGTTGAGGGAGTGATGGTGAGGGAGTGACGGTGAAGGAGTGACGGTGAGGGAGTGACGGTGAGGGAGTGATGGTGAGGGAGTGACGGTGAGGGAGTGCCGGTGAGCCTCCAGCCCCGTGCCTGTATCTGCTCCTCGCTCAGCCCGTTGACGACGTCGTCCACGGGCACGGCGCTGCAGAGCGACCTCGGCCTCGCCGGGCCCAGCAGCACGGCGCGCCCCGCCACCAGGCGGCTCAGGGGCGCCCTCAGCACCGCAGCGAGAGCCATGGGCCCCAACCGCAACGAACAAAACCTCGTGAAGAACACCGACAAAAAACGACAACCAAGCCCGCAAAGCCACCACAGTCGTCGCCCCGAGTCGCAGTGTTCTCCTATATCGCCCCCTCAACACCCAATCCCATGAGCGACCCCTGTTAAGATTTCCCAGCTCGCATAGGCAAAGCAAAAGGGGGCGGTGGGGAGGGGGCGGCGTCTCCCCGCGCTGATTGCCCGCTTGTTGAGTGGCTTGCGGCAGCGTCAGCCAATGGGGCGCGAGCTCGATTGGTTGATGAGGGCGGGGAAGGGGGGGTGTGTCGCTTCAAGCCAATTGCGAAACGGCAAGAGCGCCCCACCCCCTTTCCCCACGCGCGCGCATGTGCTGTATGGAATGTAATGTTGACTTAAAGCTTTCGTGACTGCAGGAATTCATATTATTTGGGTCTTTCGGTAAAGTCACGTAGATGGATTCAAAGGAAATAACAAAAGTATGGTAGCTTGCTATCCTTTTCCACCTCCATGGTGAATTTGATGGCTGGGTTTATGGAATTGATGTGGTTGAGGAATTGGTTCAGAGCTGGCAGGCCATGTGGCCAGATGACGAACGTGTCATCTACGTGCCTCTTCCACAAGGACGGGCGCAGAGTGGATGCCTGGATGGCATCTGTCTCAACATTTTCCATGAAAACATTGGCTACAACTGGAGATAAGGGAGAACCCATTGGGGTACCTTCAACTTGTTTGTAGAATGTTCCATTCCAGGTGAAGTAAGTGTTGGTGAGGCAGTGTCTCACCAGGGCCGCCGGTACATCAGCATTCAGTCCTCCTTGTGGGACCAAAGTCTTCAATGATTGTAATGGTGTCAGGCACAGGAACTTTGGTAAACAAAGAAACTACATCGAAACTAACGAGCAAATCACCTGGAGATAGTGAGATGTCCTTAATTAACTATACACAGTGAGCTAAGTACAGCCGAGTTGGTCTGTGAGACACGAGGCAGATCTGAAACACGTCAGGACCAATACCTCGGCTGCGGCTGATCATTGTTTTAATGCGGTGGGCTTTACACGAAATAGATTTCTCCAAGACGAAGGTACTGTGCAAACCCACTGGCTATCAACAAAGATTCGTTCATGAAGCCATCCATATATATAGACAGACACAATTTCAATCGAGAAGATGGGTACAAACTGAGGAATCATTGGAAGGACCTGATCAACCAGTTTAAGTCATAACTGGCTGCGATGTTCCCATCCTACCACCTTCCGATGTTAGTTGTTATTGTCGGCTCTCTGATTTTACAATAACAGGTTAAATCTCTCACACTTACACTGCCGCCTTGCTTGCTGAGCTCGACGTTCCTGCTCTACGATCTCACATTAACATGCTAATATCTCTCATTACCATGCTAATCTCTCACATTAACATACTAATTTCTCACATTAACATGCTAATCTCTCATATAAGCATACTAATTTCTCACATCAACATGCTAATATCTCTCATTAACATGCTAATCTCTCACATTAACATGCTAATCTCTCACATTAACATGCTAATCTCTCACATTAACATGCTAATCTCTCACATTAACATGCTAATCTCTCACATTAACATACTAATTTCTCACATTAACATGCTAATCTCTCATATAAACATACTAATTTCTCACATCAACATGCTAATATCTCTCATTAACATGCTAAACTCTCACATTAACATACTAATCTCTCATATAAACATACTAATATCTCTCATTAACATGCTAATCTCTCACATTAACATGCTAATCTCTCACATTAACATGCTAATCTCTCATATAAACACACTAATCTCTCACATTAACATGCTAATCTCTCATATTAACATACTAATTTCTCACATTAACATGCTAATCTCTCATATAAACATACTAATTTCTCACATCAACATGCTAATATCTCGCATTAACATGCTAATCTCTCACATTAACATGCTAATCTCTCATAAACATACTAATTTCTCACATCAACATGCTAATATCTCTCATTAACATGCTAATCTCTCACATTAACATGCTAATCTCTCACATTAACATGCTAATCTCTCACATTAACATGCTAATCTCTCACATTAACATGCTAATCTCTCACATTAACATACTAATTTCTCACATTAACATGCTAATCTCTCATATAAACATACTAATTTCTCACATCAACATGCTAATATCTCTCATTAACATGCTAATCTCTCACATTAACATGCTAATCTCTCATATAAACACACTAATCTCTCACATTAACATGCTAATCTCTCACATTAACATACTAATTTCTCACATTAACATGCTAATCTCTCATATAAACATACTAATTTCTCACATCAACATGCTAATATCTCGCATTAACATGCTAATCTCTCACATTAACATGCTAATCTCTCATAAACATACTAATTTCTCACATCAACATGCTAATATCTCTCATTAACATGCTAATCTCTCACATTAACATGCTAATCTCATATAAACATACTAATTTCTCACATCAACATGCTAATATCTCTCATTAACATGCTAATCTCACATTAACATGCTAATCTCTCATATGAACATACTCATCTCTCAAATCAACATGCTATCTCAATAACATGCTAATATCTCTCATTAACATGCTAATCTCTCATATGAACATACTAATTTCTCACATCAACATGCTACTATCTCAATAACATGCTAATCTCTCACATTAACATACTAATTTCTCACATTCACATCTATGTATGCTAATTCTCACATTAACATCACTAGCCCCGCCCACTTCGTTAATGACCCTCGGACTACACCCTATAAAACAGTCTGCATTCAGCAGCTTTACTCCTGATGACGATCGCTTGTGTTGTGATAGAAACGTAAACGTCGTAGTTTTATAAAATTTTCTTTGACCCTATCGACGTGACTTTACCGAAAGACCCAAAGAGTATGGAATGGAATGTTGGGTTTGCTGCCGTGACATCGGCAAAGTATCAGCTGGCGTGATGTGCACCAAGTAACACATGGAGACATCGGAATCAGAATATGTATTACTTAAGTTGTTATAGCACACCTGTCAACCCCTTCTCAGCGCCGACATTATTGCAGACCCATTCGGACCTTATTGGTCACCCCGTGCCCTTATAAATCTCAACGTTCATCCTACAAAGTCCCATCACAAGGGAGAAACACAAATAGACAACTTTTTTGCCCGTATTGAAACGGCCGTGCGCCGTATGGACCTGAAAACTCAATTTCCCTGTACAAGAATGCGGGTAACTCGTATTTATATATAACATACTTGTTAACCCGTATATGGGTCGACAGGTATGTTACTGCTGTTGTTATAGTTTAGACTTCTGGGCCACTATGCTGATGAGAACCTGAAGGGTGAAACAAGAATCAGAATATTCTTGATTTTTTCGGTAGTCACGTTGATAAAAAAAAAACCCACTTGACGTTTCGATCGCAGTACAAGCGGTCGACGAACTAAAGAATATGAATTCCTGCAGTCACGAAAGTTTTAAGTCAAGAATCAGAATCTTTATTTATCCTGGAGGAAAATCCGATGAGCTATGAAGCTCTTTTTCACACGTGGCCAGTAGGGGCGGGTCATAAAGTTACAACAATGTCACAAATACGATCGGAGTGCAATGTATTGGAAAGGAAGGCAAATCACTCAACGTAAAACAGATCAAGTACATGTGTGTACAGAATTCAAATTGGGTGAAACTATTCGTTGAGTTGAGCAGGGTTATATGCACTTTGGAGAAGACACGATGGGATGCGATTCCAAAGTCGAGCACAACGGAGAGGAGAAAAATTATAAGTGCTGTGGCCTGCAGTACGATGACCGAACAGACTGTGATGTTCTTAGCTTTCCTATACTTTTCACTCCTATCGTGTTTGTGTATTGTTTGTTGATATAACTTTCTGACCCGCCCCTACTGGACATCTGTGAAAAAAAGCTGTCTAGCCCATCGGATTCCTCCCTCCAGTATAAATAAAAAGTCTGATTCTGAGACAGCATTGGGTCTGGTAGACCGTGCTCTCGACATGGGTGGAGGAGGCCACGAATCCTGCTGTTGTGTGGGCCAGGGGGTCGAACACATTGCTATGCTGGTGCGGTTCAGGGACACCAAAATCCGCTTGCACTGATTAAGGTTAAAACCGGTTCAAAATGGGTTGTGAATGATTCGGTCCCGGTTAACCAATTGCGAAAACTGATAAAAACCTGCCAATTAGCTCTAAATTAGCACCAATAAAGATTTCCGGTGCCGCTTAAAGGCTATAACGTATTCTCCACGTGACGTCTTTGATTTTACATTTCTTAGCAAATGAGCAATGGTTATTGCTGCACACACTGTTGTAACGTGAAATACACGGTGAGGCGGAGTTGTAAATACGAAAGGAGAAGCATAAAGGGGCGGACAGAGACAGATTCAGACAAAGATCGGGGCCAGTGCTGTTTGCAGGGCTATACAACCACGATGAGCCAATAATACGAACAAGATTAGCAATAAAATGGAGCAATAAACATTGCCCAACATTCCTCAAATGCACTTGAATGGCTGTTTTATTGATACTCAAACTCTTTGGTTTCTTCGTTAAAGTCACGTAGGTAAAATGAAATAAAACTAAATTAAATCACGACGTTTCGGAGGCAACACAAGCTTCCGTCTTCAGGTGGAACAGACACAGCAAAATTCGCTGTATCCACAAATGAACAGCTCTGGAATACCCGAGATTATATACAGGTTAAGGGGGGGGACGAGCCAGGAAGGGACGTGGGTGGGGAGGGGAGGGCTAAGTTAGGCCGCCTTTTGTCATGCTGCATGGGATTTGGGGGGAGCGGTGGTGCACTGCAAGAAAGCGGGTAAAACCCACCTTTTGCTATGCTGCATGGGATTTGGGGGGAGCGGTGGTGCACTGCAAGACAGCGGGTACAACACCCTTTTTGCTGCAGGGGGTTCGGGGGGAGGCCGATGGCGTGCTGCACGAGAGCAAGCACCATCCTGGTATAAACGGAAACGGCTGTACAATTATAACCCAGCTAACGTTTAACTTGGTTGATGACATCTTTCCAAAAGTTGCTCAATTTGAAACCATCCTCTCGGTTTAAGTTCTGTCTATGTTTGTATATTTGGATGGCTTCATGGACAAATCTTTGGTAATAACCGAGAGGTTTGCATAGTACTTTGGTATCAGAGAAAATAATGTCATAACCTGCTGTGTTGAAACAATGATCAGCCACGGCCGAAGAATTCGTTCTACCGTGTTTCAAATCTGATTTGTGCTCGCAAATTGTTTTATTGATTTTAACATGGAGGGAATACTGCAGTTCATCCGTTAAGATGTATTATGAAATATGGTTACAAATATATATTTAATGCGCAAATTCAGCAGGGAAATATGAATAAATGAGGCTTCGACGCGAGTTGCATTTCCCTGCCGATTTTGCTGGTGACATTTAACAGTAACATTTGCAGTTTCCTATGTGTGAATACAATTGTGGTTAACAAGTTCAGTATATTTTAGGCATTCTGGGCTATGTTTATTGCTTACCGTGTTTGCATTATTGCAAGCACTGAAGGACACGACATACAATGCAAACACGCTAGGCAATGACACATGATCACATTGTCCTGTATTCCTCAAATACACTTTGAGGACCATTTTTAATGTTTGTATAGTAGCTTGTAATTAACGATAGTTAACCCCCTTATCATGAACCATTCCTGTTATATCTCGAAAATGTGTACTTAATTGCCCTATCTTTTGTGTGTCTCTTGACTACTCTGTGTACTGGACGTGATCATTGTATATCAATGGAGTGGTAGTGGAACGGTTCTACGAACCTGGCCACTCGAGTCTTGGTGTGACCTCCTCACCCTCAGCGCTCGTGTTGACTGCAGGCAGAATCCTGTGGATCTGTTTTAGGGGATGTTTCGCAAAAGGACTGATGTACCATGATCATGTGCTCTGTAGCATCATTGGCTTCGAGATTGCAGCCTTTCTCATACAAGTTACAAAGCTCAATATTTATTTTCAACCGGATTTTCAAAACCGCTGACCGCATCCTCTTTTCAGGATTTTTCATGATTTTTTATTTCGGAGGCAAAATAACATTTCGGTTCAGTTTTCGTTCAGAAATAGTGGGTAAATCCGGTGTCTCGCTCCGGTTTTTGTTCCGGTTGGACTCCCTGGTGTGGGTCACCACTCCTCCAGTGATTCAGCACCAAAGGGTGGGGGCCAATGGGACATTTGGTGGTGCAGGGTCCACGCCAGCAGCCGTCTTTAAGTACTGTACTCTACCCTCCGATACCAAGATTATGTTAAGAATAGGGTTTTTCCCATTTTTTCTGCCAACAAAACTGAAACCTTTTTACAAGGATTCATGTCTGCATTAACCAATAAAAAGGGGAAAAACCCTATTCTTATCTTTTGGCACTGGCAAAGGAGGTCTAATGATCAAGATTATCTTTTTAATATACATCTTCAGGGGGCAATATGCAACGTCACCAGATGTCATTAGTACAAATAACTTGGATATTGTTCAATAGTTAATGGTAAAATCCAGCAGTGGGTAGATTCTGGCTGATTAATCTTTCAACAGGTTACACAAATTAAGTAATTTAGCATGTTTTGTGGCCTTGTAGAAACCCTTCATGGCAGACTTTAATAAAACAAAAACCTATTTCCATTAAACATGAACAGAAATTGCATTCACCCACACATGCAAAATAAGCTACCTTCATTTACACATTCATATAAAAACAGTATAATCAACATCATCACCAACAACAACAATAATTGTGTGCCATGGAGGCAATATGAGCAGAGACACTCTTTAGGGGTTTGAGGAGAATTCAAAAGCTATGCAGAGCAAGCTACCTCTGTTCTGTGCAGTCATTCCATTGAGTCGTCATAGTTAAGTAAAACTGACCAGGAGTAAAAAGGTAAAGGCTCAGCTCTGCAATTGCCTACTCAGGCCACGATTGGTAGAAGTGCCTCCACCAGAGAGAGCTCTGGAGAGGCCCATCTAGAGGGTATTTAGGCCTACCCTTCTACGTTTGCCACACGCTTTAGAAGAGGTGTTGAGTACCCACACTTTACCCCAACACACGACCTGCTGATCGATTGTGGTGTGCCCATTTATACTGACGGGTGCAAAGAGGCGGCGTGATTTACGAAACATTGCCAGTATTTCAACTGCCGAGCCAGGAAATTGAATAAAGAGACGTCTCGATTGCAAGTCCAGGGTGCTAATAATGACACCATGGCCGTGTCCCATCGAGTGTTCCCACATGCAATTTAGAGGCTTTTCGTACAAAATGGTTTCCAAGCAAACATTTTCAATGTAATCGCATCTTCATGGATCCCCTGTCAAATGAAAAGAACAACACATCTGTTCTCTTGTCCATGCAGTAGCTTGGAACCGAGGTTGAGGTCCTGCCATAATTTTCCAATTTTCTGCCACAGTCCTTCGAGTGACCAAGCCACGGCAAAGAGTCCAGTGTTGATTACCTCCGCTGTGCCACACTATGAGTCGTCATCACACATGTATCTTTTAGCCACACCAGCTACTGCATCTAAGAACTGATAGTAGTTGTACTTTATGTCATATTCCATGTCGTACCAAAAGTTCACTGAGAAGAAAACACATTTTGAAACACGATTACTGAAAGGTAACTGCTTTGAAACAATGGGTTAGATTCTCGTTGCTGAGGTTAATTATACATATGCAAGTTATTCATATATTCGGTTTTCAATGATAATTTTATAATTCAACATTTAACTATCAAAATATAAGTATATAAATTCCACAAACGTTTCATTTATTTATTTAGTTTCGTGATAATAATTTTATGATGTTTTTGGGGGTGATGGAGCAGTGGCACAAATGTTTGCGCACTGCCCTATGAACTAGGTGACCTCAGTTTGATTCTTGGTAACGGCCAACATGTGTAGATGCGGCGCAACATATGCGTGTTTGTGATGACTGCTTTTTAAGTTTAGTATTTTGTACTTCCCCTGCACCTCCAGTTAGCACGGTTGGCTACGTATGGTGGGAAATAAATTCAACATACATACGACTGTGAATAGTTTTGGTCGTGCCATACCGGCGATGCAGCCATGTGACTGCTGCACGTGGTGGAACCAGAGGGAGGGCAGGTAGAGCGTCTCCCCAGCCCGTAGGGTCACATGAATGGCACAGGCTCCTGAAAACTCCGGGTACCGGCTCAGGTCAGGCTGGAGGGGGTTCACGGGGATCCACGGCACCTGGCGGGTGCAGAGGGGGGAGGAGGGGTATCCTTGTACTGCCGTGCCCCTGAGCTCGGTTTAGTTGAGAGCTGTGTGTGGAATCATTGGACATGCTGGCTCCTAACATAGAAATGTATAATTTCCAATACTGGCTCAAGACCACCAATTAAGATGAGTTCTTTGGTGTGTTCATTTGAGCTTGGGAAGGACTTTCACTTTGAATGTTTATTACAGTAATCATTTATCCATCGAGAACATTTTGAAGGAGTGTTTTGCACATGGGACGAAACTGGAGTACTAGGAGAAAATACATGCACTGAAGAGCTAACATTCAACAGTCTACACTTGCTATACTGTTATTTCCTGGCCACCCCTCATCGCCTAGTAGGATTGAGAGCTTGACAACTGTAAGTAATACAACACTCCTCGCCTTCAAAGTGCCGTGCTGCATTCTAGACGTGTGCCTCAATGCTCATGATATGTAACGTGTCTTTATTTTTTACTGCAGTACCTTCTCTGCATATTTTTCATCGACGACTTCAAACTCTCCATCCTCACGCTGTCTGTACGTGGCTGGCTGGTAAAACTCTGCAGAGAAGAAGCACCAGACTATGTGTCACGTAGCCAAAAAAAGATGAACAGATCAAACCGTTTTATAAGAGGGAGGAGGGGTGGGTGACGTTCATAAAATAATTTTAAAAAGTGGATGAAGGCGAAGGGTGGTGATTGTTATAAAACGATAGGTATACCGTATGGTATGAAGGGTCGGTCAGTAGGAGGGAAGAGAGTGAATTCTTTCTCTCCTGATATTACGCAGTACAGGTTCTCGTAGTGATCCTTGTGTACTGAAAACATGGGAACCTTTATAAGAACCAGGCTTCAATCATCAACACAACTACTGTCATCTTTAAACCTAGATATGCAGTACTAAACACATCATTGTAAAGGTATATTAAATACTGCATTGTTTGGTTGGGCAAATTAAAGAAGTAATATGTGTGAATTCGAACACAAGGCTTGTTTGGATAACCACTGCTTCAATTGTACTTAGGATGGTAATTATTGGATTCCACTGTGCTTTGTGGCAAAATCAGGACTTACAAGATGTGATGGCTTCTTTCTCTCCAATCCAAAAGTTTACAGCGTCAGGCTTCTTACCTGAACGAAACAAGCGTGAGAGTAAATGACAAAATTCAAGGAAAGGTAATTAAACATCGGCATGTGCACAATGCAATTTGAACAAATGCCGGACTATAGTCACACACAATATAGGGTGGTCTATATATGGATATTCCACAAAAATAATCAGCAATGATAAGAGAAAACAAAAGTTTGGCAAAACCCGGTCCCACAGGAACTTCAACAATCTTAATTCACATTTCATCTTTCAACACCGTCCTCTGTAAGATGCGGTATGATATGAAGAAAGGCCATTGCCAGTGTTTTCGACAAATATTTTGAGATTTCTGTAAGATATGGATCCATAACTCTCATAATATTCAATCACACGTTGAGTAATTGTAAGAGGGTCAAAAGAAACCACTATCTATAAACGGTTCACTGTGTATATACGGAACATTTTGTTAAATATAAATGTGAGAATACACCGTGCCCAGTGAAGGGTTCCCCATGCCAGGTGTATCCCACGTATGGCTGTTAATTTCATGTGCATCTCGATTCTCAAAAAATGGACACATCGGCAATCTTACACCCGAGGAAAAGAATAAGGTTAGGCACTCACCAAATGCCTCTGATGCCCATGGGATATCAGGTGCCACATCAGCCAGAAGCTCCTGGAACTCCGAAGTGAGATTGGAACATTGCTTCTGAATGTAAAATACTCCACCTTTGTCTGTCCAACAATGTCCAGAAACACATCACAAATTTGCCTATAAGGGCAAAAGTAAATTTTTTACAAAAAAAACAATATCGCCTCCCTAAGAGTAGTTCCACGACATACTTTGGGTCTTCTTTTCAAGGATGTCCAAGAATGCTCCAAACTTCATCATTCTCTCCTCTGGCATTACGAATCGATCACCAAAAACTGCATCCGCATAGCCGTTTGGCGTAACAGCCACGCTCACATCCTTGCCGCCCATGACATTCCTTGATGGTGTAAACATGGACAAGGGAAACACCCACCACATATTACTTGTGTATCACACCATTTATAAATGTTATCACCAGAAATACACTCCTACTCAACTTCTGGAGCAACAGCTCATAGTTATGACCGTGGTCTAATGAAAACCAAACGTGTTAGTCCCATTTCGTTTGCCTTTATCCACAAATGCAATATAAAAACCTAATATATTTTGTATCAAGTGACAAGTTTTGAATATTTACAAGTAATATTTTGTGATGTAAAATAAAAAAACGCAAGGTTGCAACATTGCATGACCAAGCATCAGAGTGGAGATGCAAAAAAGATTAAGATGCAAATTCCTCGTTGTTGTTACGGTGCTGCTTTGGTCGACGACTGAGGTTGTTGTCATTACCGCAAGTACGTGGGGCTCCACTTGGTCAGGGCTGCCCAGTGCTCTATAGTGTGTCTGTAGATCACAGGGCGGTTTGGTGTCACCCATTCCCGGAGAAACTCCAGGGGGCTTGGGGGCCCATCCACGTATTGCACGCTGCCATGCAGATACAGATCTGGCAAACACGTCACAGGGGTCTGAACTGGAATATTTGTTAAAACAATGTTTATCTCCAGTGTTATCCCAATTACGCTATCGATGTTTTGGCATGAGATAAAGAATCAATTCATATAGTTTGCATGTACGTAAGTGCAAACTTGCTCCATGGAGGGGATGGCCCACGGACGCAGATATCACTGAACAACTTTGGAGATCTCTTCATGTCACCTCTGGTCGACGCAGGAGGGGGCAGCACTTTCCCATCCCGCCCCGCTCCAGTTGGTAATGTTTGTCGCAGGAGAGTAACATTGACATATATTTCTAAAATTATTACAGATAGAATTTCGCCAAATTATAAGTGCAGCACCAAATGTAATGTGTTCTTTTGTGCAGTCCTTGGTTACAGGGTTGGGACCATAATTCACGACACTTGAAACGCCGGTGCACTCAAAGTGCTCACTTCCACCGTCCGAAGAGACGACCACAAATATCATACATACGACATCCGTTATCCCTTAACAATAATAATGAACATACACATGGTCTACAAAACTACACACCAGTACGATATCGAATACAGTATACTTCTTACAAAGTACAATGCCGTTTCTGTAGGTTCGACTTTTATTTATAAAGTGTGCAAAATACAAAATTAAATATTATCCAATTAGTAAACACGAGGAATAAATAACGTTTTAATTTCTACATGTTATATACATACACACAAGTTTTACATACGGTTAAACATGGACCTAAAAACCCCAAGTAAATGATATATAGCGCGTGATTTACGGTTTAAAAGTTACACCACACAGATAAAGTAAAACTGGAATCGCGCAGTGCACGCCAAGAACATTAATTGGAGGTGTAATTGACGCTCAATACGAACTGTGACCAGCTGTTGGGGTGAGACAATACGAGTGGCGTTTGACACTCTACACAATGACTAAACTCATCGTCATCGCAGTTATACAGGAGTTGAAACGCACCCCTTGCATCCACAGACACGCGCGTCAACGCTTCGTGTAGTCGTCGATGCATTTCAAGTGTAAAGAACCGACCGTGCAGCGTCTGGCGTGTGTATCCCACTTTGTAAAGAGGGGGCTAGTGTCAGAAATTAAGAGCCGGCTCCATCAGCCCCACCGGTCCCACCCGAAGACACGTGTGCGTCTCATTCAAAACCGTCCGTGTGAAAACGCGAACGCTCTCCCCGGAAAATAAAAATTGGTTCCGCCGCGAGTGGATCTCTCCCTTAAAATGGCAGAATGAAATTAGTACAATCGTTAATACACGTCTTGAAACCCTTATACATTTAAAAAAAATTACAGGCGGGGTAAGTCAAGCGGAGTTGAAACCATTCCTTGAAAGCATGCTGAGAAGTAATTTTAGATTAGATAAAAAAACCTCACTTGTATTGGAGAAGTGGGAATTGCCAAATTTGCCAGTTATTTCATCAATGTAGTTTATGTATTAAAGGAAAACATTTCCACTGTGTGATATTCTGGGAGTAATGGGAACCTACTTCGTGTCAACAGATATGAAATAGACTGTAAAGTTTTAATTGTTAAAGTACTTTAAGACCAACGGCAGTTTACGTACAAAATAAACGGTGGGAACCACAATCAGTACCACATGTGTGTCGTAGATGTCAACATTGTAATGCGGTGATTGCTAACCACCCTCCAATGACCGTCGTGGAGAAGCATGACAAATTCTTCTGGGTGTGGGGAGGTCCTCATCCAGCAGATGTTAACTCCCTCGCCTGGTATACAGGAGGCCGTGGGTTCAATCCCTACCCTGACGCCTGCTGCTGCTGCTGTATATTTTGAGTTTTCGTGTCTCTCTGTTTCTCTCCCCGTGGCCGCGTGGATTTTTCTCCGAGTCCTCCGGTTTATACCCTCCACATTTAGAATTAACATCACGCGTTTAGAGTCGGTGGCTGTTCTACATTACCACACGATGACGAGCACCTTCAGTGAGCCATCATTTGTGGCAAGGTCGCTTAAAAAAATAGAGTTACAGAGCTTATTGGGCCTTATCTGGTAAAATAAAAAAATACTAGTTTTTTTTAGTAAAGACAATGTCTCACACTTGTGACATGCACAATTTAATGAATACCACTTTCCATTTTACACGATGCAGTTTTGCCATTCGCGTTTGATACTCTAACTTATAGTATAGATTAACGTATAACATTGACACGTGGCGGTGTCTATGCATGCCTGTAATCCAGCAGTGTGGAGGCGAAGGTTGGTGCATCACACAACTGTTGCGAAACTCGATTTCCTTGGGCGTCGAGGAGATGTCATCTACCCTGGCTCACCAGGAGATAGAGTGTTTCCCCCTCGCACGCATGGGGCTCTCAGAATCTTTATTACAACTGAGGAATCCGATGAGCTAAAAAGCCTCTCTTTCACAGATCAATCAAGTCGGGGACGATCAGAAAGTTACAACAAACAGTACAAACACACGATAGGAGGTGAAAAGTTTAGGAAAGGCAAGCAAATGACGAAACAAACTAAAACGAAACTATTCTATTTTTACCAGGTAAAGCCCACTGAGCTATTAGTTCCCTTCTCAGAAGCAACCTGGCCACAAATGATAGCTCAACAAAGTGGCTTATCACGTGTGAATGTATAGCAGCCACATGTAAAACACTCAACACTCGGTCGATAACACCTGCATATATCGAGGACCGCAGAGCTTGGGCAATGGTTGCCGCAGACTCACGGCGTGGCTGCTGCATTCCTTCGTTGCCTGTTGTGTTGTGTACCTGGCAGAGAGAGAAAGAGAGAGAAAGTCGTTCCCTCTCAGCCAGTTACAACCTCACATCAGTTCTGCGGGGTTGGATAGCTCAAGGTCCCTAATGCCACCAGTGCCGCGATCCGCGATTTAAATCCAGGCAACCCACTTGTTCACGTTAAAATGCGTTTCCCCGCGTTGAGAACATTTCATAGTTTTAATCTAGTAAAGAGCGACGAACACATTAATGCGCACTGTATAGATTTTAACTTAATGCAGCCGACCTATCGCTTAAGAGTACTACAAAGGTTAAACGTGCATCGGTTAATTGACACGTGGCAATGAGCTTACAGGAGCATGACGGAGACCTGAGTTGTTTGCGTTACGCAAGGGAAGCTTCTTGGAGTGACGCCAGCGGCAGGTCGGGGTGGTGTCATCTCCCAACACATCTCGTCAACGCAGGCCATTCATTCCCTCCAATGACACTTGTGTGTGCGGCCCAGAATTATTTTTCTTCACCCCATGACTTAGATGTACACGCGGTGTGCAGGAAAACGCACGCGGCCAGTCATTGATATTTTCAGGCTTCAAATTGAAAAAGAAGAAGCAGAAGCAGCAAACACAGACACTCACTCAAGCATCGAGAACCACACGCTATTACCGCTCTTGAAACCAGTCGTGACATGACTGGTACAAGTGGTCCCTTGCTTCGGTCAATGTTACGTTTTTTTATTGCTTTATAAAACCCAGTCTATCCCGAGCCTGTGTTATAATAATCGTTTAACAATCGCTGCTCTCCTGCTGCATAGGTAGGGGTCGAAGTTGTGAAGGTGGTGGGGGGACGAGAGGGTGGCCGAGGCGATGGATCCTGGTGGCTCGGGCTGTGTGTGTGGAGGATGAAGAGTTGAAGCCATCTGGTTCATTATCCCGGCACAGCCCAGGAGCATTCTTGGGGCTGTTGGACCGACTCGCCACCGAGCTTGGGAACGCAGCGTGCACGCGAGGCCGCTCAGCTGCCCAAGGCTCTCCGTCACGCAGGATCCATAGCCTCCTTGAATGAGCGAATCCTTGCCAGAATTTAGGGAGACAAGACCCAGAGCTCCCCACCCACCCCCTTCATAGACTGAACAAACTTTTGGAGCAAGTGCCGTGATCGAGCACACGTGGAAGCCGGCACGCCAACAACGAGAGGCCGGCGTGGCCAGCAGCACGAAACGTCGCCTTTGTCTCTCTCGTGGCGACGTTTTACACACCGCACCAGGTACTCATTTGTGGCCGAGTAGACCTGGTGGCGGCCCAGTACCGGTTCAGATAATCGTGAGCGTGAATTGAACTTGGACTGGTTTATAACGTGGCGTGCTAACCGCACAACTACATCTACCCACAAGATAAAGGCCCTGCACACAAACGCATGAGCCAGCTCATTCAAGGTACAAAGTCTGTTACGAGTCAGAGCAACTTTTGATCTACACATCTGAATTCGCGAGCACAAATTAGATTTGAAACACGGCAAAACGAATTCTTCTGCCGTGACTGATCACTGTTACAACGCTGTGGGTGATCACGATATAATCTTCTCCTATAACCAAGGTTCTTTGCAAACCCACGGGTTTTTATCAGAGATTTGTTCACGAGGCAATTCAGATCTACAAACACAGACACAATTTCAACCGAGAAGATGGTTTCAAATTAAGCAACCATTGGAAAGATGTTCTAAATCGAACTAAACATTAAACTAATTTTCAATGGTACAGTATATTTTTCAAGTAGTGGTACCCCAAACTTTCGCAGCTCTTAAAAATTCCCTTTTCACACCATCAATAGGTAAACTCCCCCTCCCCCCCTCGCCAACCGGCAAGTCCACCCGCACGTACACCACCTCTATGCTAAGTCGGCCAATCAAATGCTAATTTTTATGCTAATTCCTTTGTCAAGGCACCTTGTTTCCTCGCACACAGCTTAAAGGTCGCTGTCTGAGCGTGGCTGTGTTTCACTCCAGCACTGTCCTCGAGACAGCCTGGTCCCTTCACCTGATGAAGGCCGCTTGTGTTGTGGCCGAAACGTCGTGATTTTTATATTCTTAGTTTTTTCGGTAAAGTCACGTTGAAGAGAAACAACAAAATAATAATATATATAAAACAATAAAAAAATTCTCACGACGTTTCGACCATAACTCAAACGGTCATCTTCAGGTGTGTTTGAGTTATGGTCGAAACGTCGTGAGAATTTTTTATTGTTTTATATATATTTTATTATTTTGTTGTTTCTCTTCAACGTGACTTTACCGAAAAAACTAAGAATATGAATTACTGCAGTCACGAAAGCTTTAAATCAAAAGTCGTGATTTTTGTTGTTTTATTTTTTACCTATGTGACTTTACCGAATAGAACCAAAGAGTATGGATCCTTGCAGTCACGAAAGCTTTAAATCTAGAATGGACCAATCACCTCTCCGCTCTGATGTCGCATGCAACCTCCCGTAGCGATTGGATGCTGAGACACCAACCTGCAATATCATTTTGGTTTATATCGCTCAGTTGCTTCCCCGACTCCAGTCCTCGCGACCCACCACCACGCTCCGTATTTCCGATTTACGCGCCCATTCACATTTTAAACTAACTCGTTCCCCGCTGCACGCGCACGACGATTGTTAAACACGTCCGACGTGACGCTGATTAGCAATTAAAGCTGTCTGCCCCACGTGGAACACGCGCAACACGCGCAACACGTGGAACACGCGCAACACGTGGACCACGTGCACACACGCCACATCGAGAGCTTAATCGTCACGTGAGTCGACTCTATTAACGCAGGCAGAGTTCATTGCTTAGCGCGTCACGTGGGGAATGTTTAACAATCATCGGGCGCGTAGCAATGCGGAACGAGTCAAGTTGTATTTGAATGGGAGTAAATTGGTAAACGTGGAAAGAAGCAGCGTGGTGGGTCGAAAGGACTGGAGTTTGGGAAACCCTGTAATAGAGGCAATCGAACCGAAAAAAAAATGGTTTGAGCCTGGTATTGAACAGGGACAATGACTCAACAGCACGGATGGCTGGGGGAAAGGAGTTTCAGATTGGTAGCAACGGAAAATGATACGCGACCTCTTAGTGAGCAAAGGTTGAGCGGAGGCTACAAAATAATTCATGGGTTTCTGTCGTGGAGACTGCGTATGGGAGCAGGGCGAGCTCAGAGGGGGTAGGTAGGCAGGGGTGAGTTTCACGAAGTGTGAAATTGATCAGGAATTGGATTGGGAGCCAGTGCACGATTTCAAATATTCGGTGTGATGTGCTTTCATTTTTGGTTTGCTGGTGAAAAGTTTGGTAACAGAATTGTAGGGTTGAGGGATTTGGAGAACCCGTGAAGGTGAGAGTTGAGATGGGGCGATTGGAGAGGCCATAAACGAGTTTAATCGTCGAGTGAAGATGTCATAAAAGCATGGATGAGGGTATAATTGGCAGCTGGGGGCGGATATGAGGTCTTCGACAGAGGCATGAGATGCTGTCGAGATGTGAAAATGGAATGAAAGCCGAGGTTCACTGACAATGGAGCCCAGATTAGCGCTCTCGAAGGGTTAACACTATTAGGCAGCGCTACGTAAGTTTTTCATGCACGCTCACAAATAAAGTATTACCGATGGTTTACTTTTTGCCTTGGGAATTCTTCTGTTGAAGACTTTCGGCAACATTCATCTGGAAGGTGTTCACAACCAGCGAGTCTGTGCTGTCGACCTGTCCCCTCCTCTTTACTGTCGGGAAGTTTTTTTTTCTTCCAATTCGAGTCGTCGTGACCTGCCATGATGCAACGTTCTGCGATTATCAGGGGCTGGAGAAATGGACTTTGATAAATACTGCGCCGCTGTCGTGCAAATTATTTATTTGTTCACCGCTTGAATCAGTTTTAAAAGTCGTACATCACCTTCATCCGCATGTACATTCTTACCCTACATAATTTTGTCCCTTCATGTTTACAAAGAAAAATTATATAAAATTTTACGGGTTAAATCATAAGATGCTAAATTTGTATTAAATTGGGCCAGTTGGTTATGCACCTGAATCTCGAGATTACCTGTCCACATTCAGATATCCCTCGATTTATTAAAGGGATAAGTTTTTTGCAGAACAAGCATAAAACGATATTTTGTAAATCGAAATGGGTTTTCCGATTAATTGAATACAAATATTTCGGGATGTGTTTCGGACAGTCATTCGAACTCACCTCTATACACCAAAGACTTTTCACAATACGAAACAAAGGAACACGGATATTAAAACGAATGGAACGATAATTAAAAAGGAAAATGATTAACCTTTGCAGGAAACTCGCCAAAAGCTCTGCATGTTGGCATGACTGGCTCAGGTGACACGCAGGCGTCACTTTTGCACTGTGCAGACACCGCGACTCTCTTACGGGTGGATGCCGCAGGCTCTCTCCCCCTGAGGGTTCTTGTTTGATCTCACGGCGCATTTCGTAGTGAAATTTCGTTCAAGCAGAATTTTCGATTTCGTTCATCGCAAGTGTCCATAATTTGTCCGTTGCGTTCACGCGAATTTTAGGTAAAGCGAACGTTCGTCCATCGGGGGGACACCCGCACAAGGGCTTCGCCATTGGGCAACTGTGACCACAGGTCATGGATTGATTGGGCTTCATTCGCTCAAATTTGATTTCATCACAAGTCATGTGTATTGAGACCTACGTGACGCCAAGACTCGTTCAAATCCAAAGCAAGAACAATGAGGTGAAGCCAACAGTAATTGCTGCTTTATACAAAGTTTTATTCATGCTATTGTCTCCACAAATAAAAGCAATCATTCACGACATATATTGTTACACGACTCACATTATAGCAATTACATGCACAGCAAAATTAAATTTAACTGCGTGGTCCTTAGTTTTGATCTATGAAAACGGCAAGGTGATAAATACACGGAAATTAGCCAAGCATTCTGCAATTCAGAAATTCATATAATGAAACCGCAGGTTAAGGATCCCAAAGATAAATATATCTCCCAGAATGCTTTTGTTCAGATTAAATATGCTTGTATATCATTTAGCGTGCTAATCTTAAACATACGTTTATTATCGAGTAATAGTTCATAATGCTTACTTCAACTCTATACGACTATAAACTGGTGTTATGTCAAACGATGCTTTTGCATATGCATAAAATTGATGCATTAATTTTGCTCACTGGCTATGTTGTGTACATTAAAACAATTGCAATACTGTACTGTGACATTCGTCCATAATCTCTGCTTTTCCAATCTGAAATTCCAACACTCCACACCAAATTCTTCAGATGTTTCTTGTGTCCAACCTTGAAAATAAACAAAACCTACACTTCCCTCTACGCATTACATTTACACTTTCAAAATTTCCTTCGAATTAAACCACTTCCAACTGATCTCAACCGAGTTTCAATGTTCACGTCATAAAACACATTCAACCACTTACAAATAGTTCATAATTTAAACATCTAATGGACACACAAAAACATAAAAAAAAATGTAAATTAAAGAGCTTGCAATGAGGCAAACATATTTCAACAAAAAGTATTGCACATTAATAACGTGGAATTAATTTAAGCAAATACCACTTGACATCACAGCACAAATTCAACTGCTAATATGTAAAACACGACAGTGCCACACAGCTGATTTGACCCATTTCACATCAACATAATTTTCATTTCGTAGGTCATGGCTAAATTGCCCAGACTAAAGTCTACATCGAACCCGTTTACACTGCAATGTAAATCTCTGCTTCAATTAGTGTGGCCACGTCAATTGAGCAGGAGACCCAATTTGAAGCATTAGTTTAAAATCTTTGAAGAATGTTTGTAACAGGTTATATGTAGCATACTACGATAAAAATAAACATCTGCAAAATAATGCCGACATTAACGCAAAATAAAAAAAAATACAATAAATATAACATGTAATGACTCAACTGTGTTCCCATTGATCAACTCTGCCATAATACTGTTCCATTTGCAACGGTTTCAGTTGATAACAGCACACTTGAATCTGATTAAAGTCGCAAATCTGACAAATTACCATTAGTTATACAGCTGCTCACTAATTTTCTAGTTTAAAAACAAATAAAGTTTTAATTAACCATGTATTGTGTATTTCGTAGAAACAGATAGAAAACAACGCAAGTGACATGAACATATTAAAATGGAAGCCAAGTGTTCTTTTTACTGAAGTGTTATACACACACGTGTTAAGATTAACTGCTTGTTAAGCCCTGGTTTTTAATATTAAAGTTACAGAGTATATAATTTAGTATATGTTCTTTGTGAATTGTTGTTTCTTTGATGGCTATACAGTAGGTCTACTGCATAACATCATTGATTCTTTACCGCAAGACGGCTGACCACCAAAGATGTTTATATTCACATCTAGCACTGCAATCTCAGAACAGCCAGACCATAACTTGACAACAGCTAAGAAGCCTTTCATGAGCACATTTATTATTATTTATTTAGCCAACCTTAGTTTTAAATTATACTTGCACTGAAAGCCACTCCAAACGGACAATATTGAAAGTGTGCGATTAAGCAGATGGAGGGGGGGGGGGGTTCACAAGCACTTGCACAGTCAGTTCAGCAAAAATGAATGCAACACTGATCCGCGATCAGCTTGGTATTGTTACAGAATTAACGGAGGCAATCTTTCGGGGTCTATTTGTGGTTTCTTCACAGCAACGTTTCCCAAACTATGGTCCTCACTCTCCACCACAGAACGCCTTTCCACGTGCACAAAGCTTCTCAGTTCATGTCCAAAATTAGGTTGTGACAAACGTCATGCACTTGAAAAATTGCCTTTTCGACAGATTGCCAATTCAAGTAAAACAAATGATGTGCGTGTGTATCACACATAACGTAGTTTAGAGTGATTAGAACATAGATATAACGTGTGCATCTGTGCGTAGCACACGGTATGCAGTGCACCGATTCAAAGTAAAAGTCCCTCTACCTTATCCATGGTGGAGTGCACCTTCAATCCACGAGTGGACTTAAAAAGGGCTGCCAATTATCACTGTCATTATATTCCAGCCAGTAAACAAAGCAAGCGGTCGTAAGAAATGTTTTGCTAAACCCTATGCTTCAGTTAAGCACACTGATGATGAGTGTTGTGGTATAGCTAAAAAAAATCAACACCGAAGGCCAATGCTTAAAGAGCCAAGTCAAGGTGACATTATGAAGCCACATGGCTACAGCCATCAGCGTGTGTGGCAAGACACAACTGGGGAATTCAGTATACAGTACTTGAAACATGCATTTAAAAAAAACCTAAAAATATAAGGAGTTGCCCTGAACTGTTATTTTGGCACTGAGATTGGCAGTCCAGACCTGATTTAGCTTCTTGTTTAAACACAATTCATTACGTACAATTACAATTGAAGGTAATAATCATATGTAATGTAGTATTACCAACAGCTCTTTCGTAGATAAAAAAAAATACTGTGAAGATGTTGTTCTTACATATATACCAGTTATATAACTAGCAGAGAAGCGCGCACACACACGCAGACAGCCATGCACTAATATTAAAATATCTGCTCTATTAATAATTATGCCACCTATGTAACACGTTTTCTAACCTGGTAACAAAGTTTGACTTTTAAAAGCTTTGATTTGTAAAACATTTGATATCAGTAAAAAGGGGAGCAATGACAATCAACAGCTGTAAGGTTGGCTCCATTTCCACAGAGGTGAGGCATGGCCACTCCTGCCTCCATACGTATCACAGACGTTGGGAATACTCAGCAACTCCACTCGGTGACAGACAGCACCGATCGCACTCGCATGGGAAGAATGACAGTTATGGGTGCAGCTGTGCCCTTCGCTGTCAATGTGCTTGCTGTGAAGAGTAGGGCTGGATTAGCACCTGCTGCTGGAATGGAGCCAAGGTAACAGCGGTGGCATTCTGAGATGAGTAACTTTGCTTCATGTGTGGGTGTTCCAGGGCACGACAGCTTACGTAGGACACAGCACTAAAAACAAACAGAAACAGACACAGGGCATCAGCATCAACATACTTGAAAGGTGCGCTTCTAATAAGGAACGTATGATCCATCGGAAGGCTATGGAAATTAAAGTTTTGCGTTGCATGAAAATAAATAAAACGGAAAGAATGAGAATGTTTAATTTACCGTACTTTTATATCTGGCCTAATTTCACTGTGAATAAATTAAACATGTAAGTTTAAAATAAACATTAAGTGTTCTAGGAATCTAATGACACTTCTCAATTCCATTCACACAGTCCTCACACCAAAAGGAACCATCTAATTACCATATGAATGAACTACTAATTTGATATATCACAATTATTGGTTGACATGGAACTCGGCCACACTAGTAATGGCAAATATTCGTTAAATTATCCAATCTTCAGAGCATCCAGACTGGATAATGATCAATGACGTCTGTAAATAATGCATTCCAATTTATTTTCTTCATAACACATCCGTTAAAAATCTTAAATGTTACTGGCTAAAACGATGCTCACTATCATAACATAATAAATACAAGTGTAACAAATGACAGTACAATGTTACATTTCATTGTCTGCTAAATTCAAACTGCTTTTTATTAATTTACCATTTAAAAGAGTAGTTTTTGTTTAAAGTAACGATTGAAATGATACTATACACATTATCCCCGGATTAAAAACCTAATCTTACACAAGAATATAACCTTCTAATTTAAGGTTTGTTTTAAAAACGACTTAATTAAAGGACCTCTATTTAACTAGGATAAAGTCCAATTACGTCTCTTTTGGCAGTTGCCTGATAAGAGGATGATCACGATTTCATTCACCAAGCACAGTAATGCTAAACGACGTTGAAAGGTTGTATCATGACCTCAACCAACAACTCTGTAAGGGCATAGTGTAGCCTTGGATGCAGGAAATAGCAGGCAATCAACATAACATTACAAACATTATAACACAACCCCTAAAGTGTGTAAGATGGTAAAGGAAGAACACGAGGGATAACACAAATTGCACACATTAAAATAGCATAAACTAGGTCATGCACATCGATATAAAATGGTCTCAAGGTAAAGGCCTCGACTTTTGCAACTACTGCAGACGATCCGTGTTACCAAAAGGCAAGGGAGCTCATTTAGAAAAAAAATCATATTCTGTTTCATGAAAACCTAAGCCCCTATTCAGCAGACTTCACAAATATCATTGAACAATGAAGATGAAAATGTGCCAAGTATGATTGTTTATCTTTCGATTTTTGGAACATGTTATCAAGAAGATCCCTTTGTAGAATATTGCATTTCAGCTCGTCTTGTTTCTTGAAAATTGTCCGATAAGCCTCTGAATTAAGCAGTCTTATCAAACTTATAACAGACATTCCCTGAAATGGCAGTTCCAATAGCAATCCAATACATTTGTACATTAGGTACATTTATCAGTACTAAAAGTTTAGTGACTGCCGCTATTGTTCACGGTTGTGTAAAAACGTTAGGTAATGACCCTGTCTTGAAAAGCAATACTGTGGTTCGAAGATGTATACATACTTATGGCAGATAAAAAAACTATATCACCTCTTTTTAAAACTAAAATATGTTATACATAATTAACTGCGTTAAAAAATCCTAGGCTTGGCCTAACATTTTTTAAATATTTCAAAGAACGAGAATCAGTACGATGGTTAAAACTTAAAGTGCAGCACAGATTTGATTTAAAAAAAATCTCTATTTCTGCCATCTGGTCACTTTAATCCAAGCCTACAAAACGTTGTATTCCAAGCCAGTCTTCCATCAAAGTACTAACTGCTTCGTCAGTCACATGAATACATAATTGAGAATTTCATTTGGAGTGTTTCAGCAAACATGTTTAATGCTACTGTGCATACACAATTTAATTTAAAATATATTTCTCTTCCTCTTATGGGTACATTTGCAATATTATTTCCATTGTGGATATAAAATATTTTTTTTCAGTATCAAATTGTTGAAAAATGACATCAACTCATCTAATATCCTCACTATACTTCTCTGCAGTTATCAGTAGTAGCCTTTGCTGCTTATTATCTGAAAATAAAAATCTAAACCAATGTGTACACATTCATCTTGAAAACAGACAACTACTGTAGGTACACAAAGCATGAGCCAAAACAAGTACATAGGGCTTTATGAGCAAAGCACGATGAAACGCATGAAAGGTCAACAGAAATCGGCAGCACCCCTGACTTGCATTAATAAGCTGTTGTTCATCAGCGACTACATTTTATTCACTTGATTGCTTAATTGGCAAATTTGCATTCTCAAATGCTTTTCAAGGGCTGGACTTTCTTCTGATGAACTAGTAATTGTGTTTGACAAAAAACACCACTATCAGTCAAGACAATTCATGTGATAATAACTGTAATCATGTGTACATCAACACTTATGGCGCGTAAATAAATGATGCCAAATTGTGATTGGAATCGAACAGCAGTGGCCACGATTGTAGCTCTTCACCTTGACGGAATGCGCCGCTAAAGCAAGGCAGGGGGTTGCAGACTTCCGTCCATCAAGGTGAGAAATGGGCTGACTGGGACGGTTGAAGGTGACGCAAGCGTACACACAGCTGGCTGCCACCAGCACGTAAACACACAAACCTTAGGGCAGGGCAGAGGCACCACAATGCCCTCATGTTGTTCCGCTATCACATGACTGCTAACGTGGCATAGACAAACGATACTGCGAGTCAAACAAAGCTTCACAGGAACTCCGCGTAACGAAAGGCAAGGGTTGCAGCAAGTGGAGGATTATTACAGCACAGCGTGTTAGTTAAATGGGAAAACAAACTGGTCATCATTATCAGACTTCAGAGGAAGCGGTCATTGGCAGGCAGCGCACAAACCGTGCAAGATCACGTCAGTTTTAGAAAATGTCAGTTGCCCTGTGGACATTGTGAATTAGCTGATATGAAGAGCTTCAAGACAACATCTGGGAACAATGGCAAGGGGGGCCGTGATGGAGTGTTTTCCATTGGACGTTTTGAGAGACTTCAAGTGGGGTTAGAAGAACAAGGGTTTCCAGGAAAGGGCATTTTAATGCAAGGACACGAGTGTGCATCAACAGGAAATGACCACCCATTTCTGATTCATTTATATACAGAGTCCAATTAAACTATAATATATATTAACCAGCAAGCTCAAGGTGAATGCAGTGGTATTAATGTGAGTGTACAATATATATCCAAGATAAAATGAGTAACACCTAACATTCATCCAGGTGTTGGCCAAGATGATCATATTGTCTCCCTGAAATGCATTTTTTGTCGAGTTTTTGTCTTTGCTGTTTAAACGTTAATAAAGTAGGAATGTGTTTAAAAACATGTTTGCCTTCGTTTCACATTAGCTGTGGCTTGCAGAAATTTTGTCCATGCAGGAGCCTTAATGACAATCCAACTCATCCTGTTAACATGCATGAAGGGAAATCCCAGCGGAATATAAAAAACAAACTAAATCCCAGCGCTGCCATAATTGATGATGGTTTGCAGCTGACACAAATCCGCAATATGATGAAAGAGATTATTAACACACTGCCATCTCAGACAATTATCTGAAGGCAATATACTAAAATAGCTCAAAAGCTAAATTATTTGTACATTTTGCATCTTTGCCAATTTATTAAATCAATCCATCAAGCAGCATCATTTGATTATAAACCTTCATGCTAGCAAACAAGATAACGAATGACCATCATGTGATGCTCACCTTTTAGAATGTAGTCGGTTAGCAAGCTGGGAACTCTGTCACTGTCATCCTTCATTGCTTTCAAGACTGTTGGCATGTGCAATAAAAAAGAGCAATCAGCATACATTGTTATAATATGAAAAATGCTGTAACTCAATAGATTTCTGGGGCAGATCGCATGACAATGTTTTTCTTCTGCTATATTTTTTGGAAGCAGTTTCTGCTAATCTGAGTTGGATAAATTCAGTAAAACTGTGGGGAGGAAGTGGTTGTGTTCAAGAGCGGCCCCTGCTATATTTGTCATTTCCACATTTGGAAAATTTTCACTTATTTATTGCACGAGTTTGCTTAGAGACAGTGAAAAAAATATATATCACGAGGAGATTTAACATCAGCATGTAAATAATGTCCCAGGGCAAATAATTGTCTGCGAGGAAAACACTTATCCAGATGAAAGACAACCACTTTCATCGCTGCGTTCAAGCAGAAACCGCATTGACAGCAATCATTTTGTTCGTGCTTAAAAGGTAGAACTTGTTGCATGTGGCTTGTTTTTGAAGCGCTTATTGTATATATTATATTAGAACTCTGCTATCAGTGTCATGTCATGATGGCAAGGAAAATTCCATTCAGAACTCTGTACCTGCAGTACACTTCCCTTGTGTCAAAATGGCCGCACAAGATGACACCGCAGAACTAATTCAGAAATGCATTAAATAGGCGTCTTTATCCACTCTAAGGAAACAACTTTTAATGCTTTGTAAAGAGTGTTCTCTGCAAGTCAGATTGATTTTTTCGTGTGCAAAGGAACATGCCAAATTACATTAAACATCTCATTTAAATTAATGCATTTTTTTCAGCATCACCGACTGGATTCGCACCAAAGATCTAAGTGGTGCTGACTCACAATTCTGACATGGCAACTGAGCCGTGCCAGGGCTGTGCCGAGTGTGCCCAGCACGGCTCAACAGGTGCTGGTTTGTTTGTCTGCAGAAACAAAGCCCTGCCGCTCACATCGGACGCAATGTACGAGTCAAGAATCACGTGGATGATGCAGTGATGCTGCAGTGTGCCGCGGTGGCGAGATCTTAACTACCTCGCCTGGTATACAGAAGGTCATGGCTTCGATCCCGACCCTGATGCCTGTATATTTGGAGTTTGCGTGTTCTCCCTGTAGTCGCGTACATTTTTCTCCGGGTTCTACGGTTTTTTCCCTCCACATTTCGAAATATTCATTCATAGTATTTGGCTGCTACAGTGAGGGAAAAAAGTATTTGATCCCCTGCTGATTTTGTACGTTTGCCCACTGACAAATACATAATCAGTCTATAATTGTAATGGTAGGTTTATTTGAATAGTGAGAGACAGAATAATAACAACAAAAAAATCCAGAAAAACGCATGTAAAAAATGTCATAAATTGATTTGCATTTTAATGAGGGAAATAAGTATTTGACCCCTCTACAAAACATGACTTAGTACTTGGTGGCAAAACCCTTGTTGGAAATCACAGAGGTCAGACGTTTCTTGTAGTTAGCCACCAGGTTTGCACACATCTCAGGAGGGATTTTGTCCCACTCCTCTTTGCAGATCTTCTCCAAGTCATTAAGGTTTCGAGGCTGACGTTTGGCAACTCGAACCTTCAGCTCCCTCCACAGATTTTCTATGGGATTAAGGTCTGGAGACTGGCAAGGCCACTCCAGGACCTTAATGTGCTTCTTCTTGAGCCACTCCTTTGTTGCCTTGGCCGTGCGTTTTGGGTCATTGTCATGCTGGAATACTCATCCACAACCCATTTTTCAATGCCCTGGCTGAGGGAAGGAGGTTCTCACCAAAGATTTGACAGTACATGGCCCTGTCCATCATCCCTTTGATGCAGTGAAGTTGTCCTGTCCCCTTAGCAGAAAAACACCCCCAAAGCATAATGTTTCCACCTCCATGTTTGACGGTGGGGATGGGATTAAGGTCTGACGGTGGGGATGGGAACAGTGAGAGACAGTTCTTGGGGTCATAGGCAGCATTCCTCCTCCTCCAAACACAGCGAGTTGAGTTGATGCCAAAGAGCTCCATTTAGGTATCATCTGACCACAACATTTTCACCCAGTTGTCCTCAGAATCATTCAGATGTTCATTGGCAAACTTCAGACGGGCATGTACATGTGCTTTCTTGAGCAGGGGGACCTTGTGGGCACTGCAAGATTTCAGTCCTTCACGGCGTAGTGTGTTACCAATTGTTTTCTTGGTGACTATGGTCCCAGCTGCCTTGAGATCATTGACAAGATCCTCACGTGTAGTTCTGGGCTGATTCCTCACTGTTCTCATGATCATTGCAACTCCTATGAAGTGAGATCTTGCATGGAGCCCCAGGCCGAGGGAGATTGACAGTTCTTTTGTTTCTTCCATTTGCGAATAATCGCACCAACTGTTGTCACCTTCTCACCAAGCTGCTTGGCAATGGTCTTATAGCCCATTCCAGCCTTGTGTAGGTCTACAATCTTGTCCCTGACATCCTTGGAGAGCTCTTTGGTCTTGGCCATGGTGGAGAGTTTGGAATCTGATTGATTGATTGCTTCTGTGGACAGGTGTCATTTATACAGGTAACAAGCTGAGATTAGAAGCACTCCCTTTAAGAGTGTGCTCCTAATCTCAGCTTGTTACCTGTATAAAAGACATCTGGGAGCCAGAAATCTTTCTGATTGAGAGGGGGTCAAATACTTATTTCTCTCATTAAAATGCAAATCAATTTATAACATTTTTGACATGCGTTTTTCTGGATTTTCTTGTTGTTATTCTGTCTCTCACTGTTCAAATAAACCTACCATTAAAAGTATAGACTGATCATTTCTTTGTCAGTGGGCAAACGTACAAAATCAGCAGGGGATCAAATACTTTTTTTCCTTCACTGTATGTAAATTTACACATGATAGGCCATTTCGTTGAGCTATCATTTGTGGCCAGGTTGCTTTTGAAAAAGAGCTACATCAAAAAGGTTTTAAATTGATGTTTACTGACCACCGTCATGTGCAATGAACATGATTAGCTTCGCACCTTGCCCTGCTTGGCCCCACCGAACCAGATTCAGATTACCACAATTTGGTTGTGATTCGGCTCAGCATAGCACAGAAAATATTCAGCGCGAAAACCACCTGTACCATGCGGGCCCAGAACTGGCTCAGCCCGGCTGTGCTAGTGGAAAAGGGGAATTGGCCACCTCCACCCATCCATGCCTTACTCTTAATGAGGACCTGCAGCTGCTGGACAGATGGTGGCTCTTCCTTGTCTTCATACGGAATCACGGTCGTCAAGTACTGTTGCCATGACACACACAAGGAAACCGCACAGTGAGAGCATTCACAGCTTAATCACATTGCCTTTGCTATCTTGATACAAATATTCTTGGTTCTTTCGGTAAAGTCACGTAGAAGGGACTTTACCGAAAGAACCAAGAATATGAATCCCCGCAGTCACGAAAGCTTTAAATCAAAATCTTGATACAAGTTAGGTTTGACAAGTACAAGGCCCGGCATGATGGTATTTTTTACAGCAAGAGAGTGCAATTTAAATTGGTTTCTACAAGGTCATCCATTATTATTTTAAACAAAACAAAATGTACTCTTTTACACAATTATTGGAAAAATACGTGTTGTATGTTGTCTATAAATACTAAAATGGCAGTTAGAGAAATTTATTATTCTTTCACGACCCAAGTGTTTTTTCTTTCAATTTTATAGTGCGCACGATAATGGCCAATTCAACAAAGGTTACAATTAGCATAACACACTTTTAAAAGGCCCTGCTGAACCTTTGTAATTAACGTTCAATAATTACAAAATAAATAATTACAAGCTCGAGCACAGCACAAAACATACTATTATGTCCAATGAAGCATGCGTGCAGCTCAAAAATGTATAAGCATCATCAAGATCACTGCAAACAGGATGCATCTAGGATGGAATGGTGGTTTGTCTTTTCATAATTTACCTTTCATCAAAAATTAAAGCACTGTAGGCAATCCACCTGTGTTCTATAGTTTACAATTATGACCTTGTAGGCCAGCCAGTGAAAATACATTTATATTAGTACCTGCAAGCAAAACCATAATTGTGCATTGTGCCTTTGACACAGCTTTGTACAGTAAGTGGTTTCAGAGTGCAGCACAAGGTAATGCTATATTGATGTTCTGCCATAATTGTGCACCATTTTGTAGGAAGCCCAACCAAAACAATATGAGACCATTTGTTTTATGGTGTGTTCATAGTACAGATTGGGGTTGAGTGGTGGCGCAGCAGTTAGCGTACCGCACTGTGAAATTAGCAAACCTGAGTTCCTTTTCCAATCACAGTAACATGAGTAGCAAGGGATATTAGAACTGGTCCCGGGCTTTCATTTCACCAACCTGTACTGAAAAGCGTGGTGAAGTATTGTTTAACAAACCTTATGACCAATATAGTATCAGGCAGTCCTTCATCTAGCAGCGAATTGACAAAGGGCTGTAAATGTAATACATTTAAGCACCAGTGATACAATTCATAAGAGCGAGCTACAACACATGGGCAAGGAGCTTTGAGTGGCATTAATGGACAAACAGCTACACTCCGGAGACAGGTTTCTTGCACTTCAATCCACAAACTACCAGACATCAGATTTCCATTATCACCATTCAACAGATGCACTAAATAAATTACCTCATTAAATTCTGAATGGAACTACTGACTAACATGGAAAAGCTGTCCAAAGGAAATATATAAACCATTGCTATGGAGCAAGGATGGGGAACTTACTGCCAACAGGCTGGATATGGCCTGCAATTTCATTTTATGTGGTCGATGGCCAACTGAGACGTACTTTAAAACTGCCTGCAAACAATATTCCTGCATCACTGAAAGAAATCTTTGAAAACAATACATGGGTACTGGAAGGGAATATTTTTGATCTGGAAAAATTGTTTCTAATCGAAATGCATTCTGCTCCATCATTGCAAGAGCCTCAGAATTGGCTGAGGTATGTGTGTGTGTACCCAAGTTAGTAATACTGCTATAGAGCTGGTCCCTGAATTTAGTTTTGGCAGTGGTTATTTCTGGAGATCGGCAGGGAGCTTAAGCTGGGATGATAAGTAATCTACTCATATTCTTGGTTCTTTCGGTAAATTCAAGTTGAAGGGAAACAATAAAATAATAAAATATATAAAACAATAAAATTCTCACGACGTTTCGACTGCAACACAAGCAGTCACCATCAGGTGTGAAAACCAACGGCAAGAACATCTGAATGAAGTGTCGGTTTTAATTTATTTATTTTCAAGCGTTAGCACCACGTATAGCGATTTGACAGTTTGTTAGATGGACGAGTCCATCTATGTTCGGAAAAGAGGAGCGGGGAGACGAAAAATTAATGTATGCTGTCTGAAAGCCACCGTAAGCGTGAACATTCAATTAAGACCCGAAATGGTTTATCAAATCCTTCCAATGATTGCTAAGCCAGAATCCATCTTCTCGGTTGAAATTGTCTCTGTGTTTGTATATGTGGATAGCCTCATGAACGAATCTCTACCATGAGATGTGGATAGCCTCATGAACGAATCTCTACCATGAGAGATTCGTTCATGAGGCTATCCACATATCCAAACACAGAGACAATTTCAACCGAGAAGATGGATTCTGGCTTAGCAATCATTGGAAGGATTTGATAAACCATTTCGGGTCTTAATTGATTGTTCACGCTTACGGTGGCTTTCAGACAGCAAACATTAATTTTTCGTCTCCCCCCTCCTCTTTTCCGAACATAGATGGACTCGTCCATCTAAACAAACTGTCAAATCGCTATCCGTGGTGCTAACGTTTGAAAACAAATAAATAAATAACGCCACTTCTTTCAAATGTTCTTGCCGTTGGTTTTCACACCTGATGATAACTGCTTGTGTTGCAGTCGAAACGTCGTGAGAATGTTATTGTTTTATATATATTTTATTATTTTATTGTTTCCCTTCAATGTGACTTTACCGAAAGAACCAAGAATATGAATCACTGCAGTCACGAAAGCTTTAAATCAAAATTTAATCTACTTATGTTTTTGCGACCAATTACTTGGGCCCTTTAAAAGTGGCAGCCACCACAACACCCTGCCTCCTCCACAAGTAGGAAATCTCCGACATTACCAAGCCCAGCCCATCACCTCCCATCCAGCAGGACACATGTGGGGAAAAAAAAGGTGAGTAATCTTCCAACTATTTTGGTCCTATCCAATTAATTGGTAGAGCAATTGATCACTTTAATTATCCAACTCGCCCTACTGTAGCGTGAGTGCCACGATAGCGAGATGTTAACTACCTTGCCTGGTATACAGGAAGGAAGTCATGGGTTCAATCCCGACCTCGACACCCGTATATTTGGAGTTTGCACGTTCTCCCCGTGATCGTGTGGATTTTTCTCCGAGTCCTCCAGTTTTTCCCTCCACATTTAGAAACACGCGTTTAAGAGTATTTGACTATTATAAATTTCCATGTGATAAGCCGCTTCTGTTGGGTATGATGTGGCCAGGTCGCTTCTGAGAAAGAGCTATATAGCTCAGTGGGCCTTACCTGGTAAAATAAAAAGTTAGAGTTAGTAAAAAAGCTCACTGTGCCAGGCGCAATGGTCCCCTTGTCACGGCGGTGGCTTGGCGAGGCACCATTGCTTCTCCTCTTCTTCTTCATGATGTCTCGGAACTCCTTCTGCTTGTTCTGCACCTCCACCAGGGCGGCGATGAAGCTATTCTTCACCTCCTTCTCGAACTCGAGCTCGTCCCTCAGTGCAAGCTGCTGGATGAGTTCCTCAGAAAACGTGCGAACCGCTGTCTCCATGTCCTCCAGCATCTCCATGAGCCGGGCCACGGACAGGCCCTTAAGCGCTGTCAATGGTCAATGGGCATACGTTAGTACTCCGCAGGCACAAGATGTATGAAGAAAAAAAGGACTGTCTTAAGTCATGGTGATGTTACGACTGATAAATGGTTGAGTTCTGCATAAATGTGCCAATGCTCTATTGAACACGTGCTTCCAAAGCACACTTAGAGAGCATATTCATGACACGGCTCGACAACAGCTGAAGTCCATCACAATGTGAATCAGTTGTGAAAACAATGTATGAGCAGAAACTTATTACAGCTGGTACAGTGCATGAGATAGAAGTGGAGCTTAATATATATAGTACTATGCCTTAGCATCCCAAGCACTGACCGATACACTACAACCCAGTGCTATATAAACTGTGTATCTGGAAATAAAGAACGAACGATGGGGTCGAGTGAGCCACTGGTTAAAACTCACCGTCAGCCGGCGCACCCTTATCAGACACGGGAGACTGCTTGAGAGCTGCCACCTCCAGGGAGAGCAGTGAGAGGCGGTCGGACTGGCCTGGTGTAAGCACACCCTCTGGCTCTGGGTCTGGTGACTCCTGCATCATCTCCTCGAGCTCCTCAATCACCTGCCACAGAAGACGGCGCGCGTTGAACGAAATCCACCATAATTGGAGTGCTGTCAAAGTGTACGTGGGCCGGTCACAGTGTCACAAGAGACCGGGGCCTTGCTGCTACTCCATTCCCCAAACACGTGGGTTGGTGGTTCGTGAGGATGGATGGTGGTGATTGTGTGGGGTGTCTAGATGGTGAGACAGGCTGGTTCCTCTGTTTTGTGGCGTTGCTGGACCTTTCCTCGGACTCTTTACTGATACTCGGGTTGTTGGCTGGTTTCGTGCCCTGGTATGTACATGTGTGTCATCAACTGCCCCTCCTTGTAATGTCCTTCATTTGTTGTTGTTTCACGTCTATTATATCTATTTCCCCTCGATCTTTTCCCCTTTTTTTTATCCCTGTCATGGCCGTCCATGTACTTTCCGTGGTTTCTGTGTTTTGTAAGAACCATCGAAATGCCACAGCATTTAAGCGCCCTATGAATGCGACCCTTTATCTTTAAAAAGCACGATTAATCCACGAACAGATGGCAACGTTCCACCCCTACTCAAAATGGAGCACGCCGGTTGCTACAAATTATACAAACTTGGTGAGTCTAGTAGGTTTGTCAACAAAAAGTGAGCCCCTAAACAGATGAATTATTCTTCATATGGCTCGAGTCCTTCACTAGCAGGCTAAGGTATGCAAGTTATTCCATCATCCCAGGCTACCTGGCGATCTGTGAAAATAAATGTAACGCAGCGCATCACTAAAATTGGGGTGGAGGGTAAGTAAAGACTGTCACCCAAGCACACATCATGTTTGCCTGTTTAACATTTGAATGCTCTCCGTGTGTAGATTCGGCAATACGTAAGCATATGGGTGATTCACGGTAATAGAATTGAAAAATAAATGTTGGCACAATTGATACCACGAGGGATTTTAGCCCTTTTGTGTCTTACTTATGCATCACATCAACCCATCCCGTAAACACATTTAGAAACGATAAAAGCCTAAATGATGCGACGTTAAATAATAATTATTAGGTTATTTGTCTCGTGCATTCATTTCATTACCAGACAAGCAACCATATGTTATTTGCAAGAGTTAAAAAGGGTTTATTTGCTTAAGCTTTTATCCCCACTCCACAACAGGCCCATTTTCTGGCACATTCATAGGCAAGTGAGCCATCATCGTATGCAAGACACATGTAGCATGGGGGGGGGGGGGGGGGGGATTTCGTCAGGCAACAGCTGTTGTCATTGGCACACCACTAGGTGCTCAGCGATGACTAAAGTAGAAATGGATTTGCCACCGTACAGCCATTGGTGTCCACATTGTCAAGCATGAGCTGCAGCTTAGCAGAAAAGGAGGGTGAATTTCACATTTGCACATATCGCTTGCAAAGTGTGGTAATGGCCCTGTCTCATGCAAGGACGTTGCCATTTAAAGTCGAGTGGAAAATCTAAAACAAGCCCCTCTTGTGATAGCTCCCAGTGGTAATACACTGGAGTAATCATAGCCCCTGCTTACGTTTTCAATATTAAAATCAGTTCGTAGTTCATTAAGAAGAACTTGTAATTCAATGTATGCTCTTATGGGTATTGGGGCATTCTCGCCAATGACACGCTTGCTGCTGCTGAAGCGAACGCAGCAATTCATCTGGCTTCTCATTTAATCTGGCTTCTCAATTCTCAATTCATCTGGCTTCTCATTAACATTTCACCGCAGCAGCAAAAAATGCTGGAAACCATGGAAACTCGGATATTTACATTCACTTAACATCACCTAATAAATGCATTTAAGTCATTAGTATGTACATTAGAACAGACTAGGAAATGTTAATTCATAGCGTTTGTATGGCAACATCATTTGAGACAGCAAGATTTACAAAACCGTCATTTTTGGTATTATTCTCTTAAAGCCCTCTGGAAGGGTTGGGGGGGGGGGCGCCACATCTGGACTCCAACTCTTGGTGAGCTGATGAAATTCAATTTAATAAGCAGGAGTGGAGCCTTGGTCCTGGGGTGCCCCCCTTTAACATTTAATCAGCATTGCTGCTGCTCCCATGAAAAAAAGACTGCAAAAGGCACAGGCAGTGAATATAGGTCACGGATGTGCACCCACTTGGTAAAGGATTTGAATGGGGAGGATAATGACTTACACACGTGACCAAGCGTTAACAAGTCCTCCGTACCCGAGTGCGTTCCAAATAAAATCGCGGCACAGGGCAAACGGACACATGATGTACATCTGCATGAATGATGATGTTCTGTGCAGAACTTGTCAGACAAGACAGGACAGTCCAGGGCTGAAGCAATCACAAGGGCCACAAGCAACAGCTGTTATAACATTTTCAACAAATTAACCTTATGGCGGGACCCCGGGGTCCCATAAGCCGCCGGCTCTCGCATAAACTGCGTTGCGACGTCATTTTATGTCTGTTAAAGGCGAACGACACGACGATCTATTCCTCTCGGCGAGCTCTACACGATGCGCTAATCGAAGTTTCAAAGTTTTGTTTCTTCTGCACGCCACGACAACAGAATGATCCGCGCCAGGTGGGTCGCGGCGTTTGTGCACGGTGGGACGGAGTCGCTAAAAATAAATTACGATTTTGACTTGCGTTTATTCGGGACCCCGGAGTCCCGCCATAAGATTCAAATAAAAGAGCATGTTCTTTTATTGAGTATCTGCAAATCTAAATGTTTCTAGTCAACTGAATGCCGGGAACTCTTTGGAAGATTGAAACAAATCATGTCCGAGTTGCCTACGCTTCATGAGTTATCTTGAAAAATACGTCTTCATGTATTTTTTCTTATGTTCAACAGCAATCTTTAAATCATTTGTGACCAAATGCTATATATTCATATATATACAGAAAACTTGCTTCACATTAGCCACTCTTGAATTTATACTACTGGATTCGCAGCCATAGTAATGATGAACAATAATACTCCTTGTTCATTCACAAGAATCTCACTCAGTCTTAAAACTCTTTTTCATGAAATCCCATTCACAGTTTGCAATTGCATTGGGTTGCAATTCGGATCCAGTTCTGGGACAAAGGGCCACACAAACTCCAACAAAACTCAGTCCATGACAAATTACTTCTGCCGGACGATGCTCAGCCCCAATTTTACTCAATTGAGCTTACCCATGGAAACCTCACCGTAACCCAAACACCCACTGCCATATGGCAGAGTGTCTATCGATCTAACCTCTCATGTGCAGTGCATGTTTAGTCAATACACAAGAAATCACTTAGGCATGGCTTCCTACATCACAACACTAACCATTGCCTGCCCGCGAAGCACAAACCATGCTTTTTCTACTCTCTCAGGCCACCTTAGTTGAACACCACTGTACACGATACATGCAAGCAGCTGGCAACCATCCGTCACACATCAACATATGTGAATCACAGTGCACAGCATGCATGTCAGAAAATACCCTACAATTTGATAGCCCTTGGTAAACAAAGCCTCATCTTATGAGCCCATGTTCAAGCACAAAGCCCTAGTGTACAGGGGAACTTGACGTGACCCAGCCACAAACTCAATCAATGCAATCGAATGTGGGCACACAAGAATACATCGCTTGAACCGACTGTCATTGAATTCCATCCACCGTGCCCTAATTATGGCAGTATGTGGTAAAAGAGCCAAACTAAGCGTCGTTTATCTCATGTTGCTGTAAGCATTTAAAGCGGGTAAAGTCCATGCAACTAAGGGACACTTAATCAGAAAAATAATGTACCAGCTCAAACGATATTTTTTTAGATGTGCAGCTAAACATAATTGCCTAATAAGATGCCGAACATAAATATAAAGGAAATATATAAAAAAATACAAAATGGTTAAATCTATGCACAATTGAACCTTGCACAAATCCAACTAATTCAATTCACTGTGAAGATAATAAAATAATCTTAGTTAACACGACAAAAACATTAATGTGTTTTAGACATCTTCCACACGTCGTATTACAGTTTAAAATGGAATGTAACTTTTGAAATTGCAAAATACATACTTTGTTAGTATAGTGTTAGGCCTTGATCAGTGATAGGTGTCACAGACCTATACGCTTGCATGCATGCAAATGCGTATTCCCAACAATTGTTATTTATGTGTCTAAATAGAGGGGCATTTCAAGACTGTCCAAGACAACTGTATAACTATGCACAGTAAATTATACACAAAACCTTCAAAAACATAATGGATCACCACAGTAAATATGGCTAAAACGTTCCCTTTAAATAATTAACAAAACACGGCTCTTATGCAATCTACATCTTGAGTTCATATACACGACACGAGGGTAAATATTAACTGAACCTTAGATTACGAGGTATGTGTACGCTGTTATGCTATATAGCTCTCCAATGTGCTTTCTGGATGTATGCATGTAGATCTTCATTCTCAACGTACATAGCCAAGTATGCTAATCGGAGATGTGGATGTGCCGTGCAATATTCTGAAAGATATCTGACGTTTCAACCGACATGCTTCAGTCGCTGATGCTCCCAGCGCGGGCAGCGAAACATTGGACATCCAGTTAATTAATACCTGGCACAACCTGGACACACATCAGAGAACTGTAGGTTTCACTTGTATTGAAACTAGGCAATTTTTTATTTTACCAGGTAAGGCCTACTGAGCTATATAGCTCTTAGTCAGAAGCGACTTGGACACAAATGATAGCCCAATGAGGTAGCTTATCATGTGGAAATTTATAGCAGCCAAATACTCTAAACACGTGTTTCTAAATGTAGAGGAAAAAACGGACCCAAAGAAAAAATCCACACGACCACGGATAAAACATGTAAACTCCAAATATACAGCCGTCAGGGTTGGGATTGAACCCACGTCCTCCTGCATACCTGGAAAGGTAGTTTACATATTGCCACAGCAGGTTTGACCCAAGCACGTGGTTGCCAACGTCCACAGCGACGGCTCGATGGAGTTGTTTGCGCCCACGGAGAGCGGCTATACCTGCTCGGCGGTGAAGAGCGGCTCCTCTGGCTGCATGCAGGACACGATGATGGAGTGCATGTCCAACTGATCGCGTAGCTCCTCGTCGTCGGAGAGATCCAGGTTAACACCCTCCTTCTCCTGCGAGCAGATGTCGCCGTGGAGGGTCACACCACCGCCGAGACAGCCAGTCCAGTCCAACAAAACAGCCTACTCATAATCTTTATGAAACTCGGAAGTGCTGTCTTTCCCAACTGTTAAATGAGTAAAAAGAATGAAGGTGCAATGGTGTAAAGAAATGCTCAGGTCATTGCTGATAGAAGGGATTCTGCTAAAGGGAACCCTTCTCTAGGGTATTTTAGTCTACTCCTGCCCACTGATTAGAAGTCTGGGAAGAGGTGGCAGTACCCACACTTCACCCCCCTATACACGATCTGCCAATTAACTCGCTGTGGTACACGTATTTATACTGCTGGGTAGACAGAGGTGAAGTGGGAGATTTAAGAAAAGGTCAGGGTAAGTTAAATTAAAACTTCCACATTGACTGAGTTTAAGGCATTCATTCTGTATTCTCAAGGAATTATAGACAATGTATTTGTGAGTATAGCCGCGAAGGGCGTGGCTGAGAGAGTATACCTAAGCATCTAAATCACTGCTGCCATTATATTTGTTATTTTAAATTTTCTGAACAGCAGGAGGTTGTTTTTTATTCAACCAACCTACAAACCAGGTTCAGGCAATAATTATTTGCGAGTTTTACAATAATTAAACGGTGTCTAGAGCTATAGCCATCTTATTGTGAGACAATGTGTTAAAATTACATTATAGAATCAACATATTGTACAAGCAGATGTGTTTCTAAACAAATGTACAACGTAACATTGGCAAATGAAAGGAATGTGGATTTTCGTGAATGTTTAAAAATTTTCACGTTGCGAGTTATACATTTTTCCATGTGGTTCGCTTTCCCGCTTGGTATACAGTGTGCACAATAACAGCGGCAGCCTCGTCTGCACGAATTAATCCGCACAGCAGGAACCATAGCCCGGCAACACAAGACGACTTGCAGAACGTTAAATATTCACACAATCAGATGCTCTACATATTTACGACGACAAAGCAAACAACGAGCCGAAGCTGCGAACAATGAATAACATTAAAGCTAAGTGAGCCTGCACCGAAAGATAATTGCCTATCCAGAGCCATTTGACTGGTAAATTTCAACAGGCCAAGGTTTCAAAGCAAAAGCCATAAATAGACCAATGTTAAGGGGAAAAACCCACTGCAAGTGTGAAGGCAATCCCTGTTGGACAAGGAACACAGCGTTACTCACATACCCTGCATTCAGCATGGATGTTGTAATCGTCAATGCTTGTTTGAAACGTGTATGGCCCCTTATGAATCAGAGTTTACGCGAACGACCTTTGAAACACCGAAATGCAATGCTGTAAAATGCACGGTGTCGTTTAAAAGCATGTTTAGCCCTTCGAATGGCGGCACTGGAATGAACAGACGTGTTGGATGAGAGGCGACCGCGTGAAAGAACCTAGGCGGGACGGCACCCACGCTCTTCGTTAAATGTAGCATCTTCGTGCTATTGACCAACTCTTTACAGTAAAGTCAACAATTGATTTACACGGCTTGTAAATTGTACAGAGTGAATATAAAGGAGGGCCTTGTGCGTTTAAAATGAAAACAATAACAAGCTCACATTAGCACGTACTTATGAATTAGCCATGTGCCACTGCTGCAAATCCAATATTTTTGTTCCATATATTATGACCATGCATGCGGGCACTCAACTAATTACTGAGTTGTGCTTTCTTTTCCCATTAGCCCATAGTTTGCTCATGCAGACAGCGCACTGCTCTAATGGGCTGCAGTCACCGCATGCTCTTCCTTGGGGTCACAGGAGAAAATGTTTCAAAAACCATCACGCGCAGATTATCTTCCTCCAGCATGCGGCTTTGCGTGTCAGAACGCATGCATGACCATGTTGAATGGTGTTAACCACGAAGCAAAGTTTACTGAAGATCCCCCAGCGAAATATCCAATTTGCAAATGAAACAAGTTAAACTCTTAAAAAGGATTTCCAGAGGGTCTCCAACACCGCAAACACCTCCTTTCCAACTGACATCACGTGGCATCCTGGTGTGTAACTGACAATTATTTTCTCAAGTCATAAGTTGAGAAAGACTAGTACTAAGATCCACACTATTGAAGCAGATGGACACTTTGTATTTTGCTTCACATTACTGGATTGCAAGGCGAGATGTGCGGTAACTAATCAGACAAAATCACAAGTGAATCTCTTGAGCAGTGCGGCATCAAGCTTCTGTATTCTGGCAATGACAATGTACAATGCCTTCATGTTGGATTATCGCTTTCAGAATGTCAACTCTTACTCGCATCAAGTTTCGGTGATCGTATCGACATAAGTGAAGTGGCAGCCCACTTTGAAATTATATTTCCTATCTCGCTTTCTTGGCACAAATCATAAAAAATAAAATAATAATAATGTTGGACGCTGTAGAAGCCAAAAAAATAAAATACTTATTTTCAAGTTACAGAAAAATGCAAAAATGTGTGCAATGCTCATTAATATGAATAATTAGATCTACATTAAATGCAAATAGGTTTTTTTAAAACTTGTGCTGGGAAAAAAAATAACATTTACATATTGAACCATATGCTGTATTGGTAGCCAAGGAGCAATAGCTTAACCGCTTTTTTTCCCCCTTTGCAATACAAGTGCTCTTGGTTGTGTAAACAGAGCCCCTCGCATCACTTGTGACCCGTGAAGAGCGTTAAGGGCTATCAATTTAATGACTGCTCAGGAAATGCAGGCACTCATCACAAATGTGCAGTTGTAACAGCCGTGCCAAAAAGCTTTTAATCCGTCATCTGTCACCTCCTAGACATTTTACCTGCAGGACAGCAGCATCCCCCCCCCCCCAAATCAAACGAGGCTACACATCGTAACGCTACTCACTTTGGGGGCAACTTCATTGCTCCCCAGCTGCTACACCAATCACGCGACAGTATCCGGTTGGTGCGGGCAACGCAGTTTCATACGCGCTAGGCTCTAATCACGGCGTATGAGACAAGACGGTGGAGGTGCCAAAATAATATAAAAACAGGCAGGGCAGTGGTCTGAAATGTTGGTTTTGGTGTTCATGTGAATTAAGTTTATATATATAAAATAGGTTTTAGATTGCAATAGTGATTGGGAATCGTGTAACCTAACCCAGAGAGCTCACAGGTCAGTGCTGAGTTTGAACTGTTGAGATTCTAAGTTTGGATCATGGTTTTAGTTGCATGTGATTGAACTGGGACCTCAAGTTCAATGAGATGATGGTCTACACTAATAACTGCACACAAAAAACGAACAACATTTTGGTTTGTCAGTTAAATTGAAACTATCGGGTGGACTGTCATGTGACAATCTCTCAGCGTGTGTGGGAAGTGTGCTTCCCCCCTCCTCTTGTGAAAAGGATGAAAAGGAAACTGCAATATTTATCAACGGAAGCATTGTTGTAGGACATGATACAAATAGCAGAAATTAAATTAGGGCAGGAAAGAGAAAAAAATATATATATTTCAAATGGTGGTGTTGCTTACAAATTAAATCAGATTGGAATTATAGGTTGACAATGATATAAGATAAGTAATTACTTGAAAATGTATCACTGTAGGGTGAAGTTATGTTCAACATAAAAAGTATTCACTCTTATAATTATTACATGTCTTGGTCTACAATATGCCTTCGACACAAACAGTGCAGTCTTAAAGGATGGCATCGTATTGTCAGCTACCATCTTATTTTGATACGGATTAAGCTTAACGTTAATGTGGTCTAGCAATCCAAAAGAAAACCCATTTTATGATAGATTTCCCCCCCCCGTGTCACTATATATGTCCAAACAAGTGGCAACATAAAAAATAAAAGTGCAATCAATGCAAAACATAACTAAATTGATGCCGGCTGAATACTCCATACATAAAACATTGCTTGCAATCGTTACTGTTCCAGATTATTGGGAGCCCGTATATCGTTGATCCTCAGCGTTTCACCTTCTTCTGGTTGAGGTTGAGAGTTGGCAAATAAAGTGTCCTTGTGTGAGAGCTGTTCCAGTCCACGGGCATGACGTTCCCGTAGTTGTCCGTCACCTTGTTCCACAGCCTGCATCGCCGTGAACAACACACAAAGCACTCCATTAAAACAAAGGCATCAATACAGAATATATGAATATAGCCACTACAGATCTCGGAGAGGTTTAACCCTATCGTAAATACACCCTACAATACTTAAAATTCGATTTGTATTGATTTTAAACAGTCACATTACATTTTGATTTAAAGCTTTCGTGACTGCAGTAATTCATATTCTTAGTTTTTTTTTTTTCGGTAAAGTCACGTTGAAGAGAAACAACAAAATAACAAAATATATATAAAACAATAAAAATTATATATATTTTGTTATTTTGTTGTTTCTCTTCAACGTGACTTTACCGAAAAAACTAAGAATAGTCACATTACAGTTTGAATATAGTTTTTCTTCAAGTGGTTAAGATGAATTTTGATTTAAAGCTTTCGTGACTGCAGTAATTCATATTCTTAGTTCTTTTGGTAAAGTCACGTGAGAATTTTTATTGTTTTATATATATATTTTATTGTTTCCCTTCAACGTGACTTTACCGAAAGAACTAAGAATATGGTTAAGATGAAGGCAGATAAAAACCGTGCCCACAGCCTGTAGATCAAATGACCAAATGGACTGTATTTACAAATGCTTTTAATCAGTTAATGGTTTTTGCCAGCAGTCAGTGAAAGCCTATGCTGATTCATGGACACTTTTTAACATGTAAATAAATAGCAAATGTTAGGCACTTGACAAAGCATCACATTATGGGTTCAATTTAGGTAATACAAGAACACCTTGTGCCAATGCTTTTTGCTGCACTGCTTTGCGAATATCTGTCTGTCATGAGGTGTAGGTCTCACTGCTTGGTTCTGCATCTTCCAAAACAAAAATAATGAATGTCGCTGCATTAAAAATATATATTTGTCATTCATGCCAATGTATTCCCATTGTGCTATCCGTGCCATGCCACAAGACAAAGAATTCAATCCCACAGAGCAGTGTGAACCGTGTGCCAGAACACAGTCTGTGGGAGAGATGTTCCACAGAATCTCTTCCAAAAAAGAATCTTCAAAATGGCCTTTTAATCCTTTGCACATTGGCTGTACGGCTTCAATTGTGCTCCGAAATGAGATTGTTAGTTGCAAAAACGGTATACTGTATCTCATTCTAAATGCAGGAAGTGATTGAAATTAGAAAACCATTACATATATTAAAATAATGTCATCCAATAATTGGTGACCAGGCTCAGACCATCAACTTTCTATACAAGAAAACCTGGTTTTAAACACAAACAGCTGCGTGGATTTGAACCCTGGATATCATCCACGCTGGCTGAGTGCCGTGACCGCTAAGCCACACAGCCACCTTGGGTTGCACTCTATAATATGTCTAGAGCTATATAATACTGAACAAGCAAAGCTGCCCAAGAGTGTCATAAAACAATTCATTCTGGAAAATATGTAAAAGCATGTCCCCGCACCAGGTAAAAACAATAACGCATTCAGGAAAGCATTGTTCTAGCAGCGATGTACAGTACGTAACTATGTCTGGTCCATATTATTGTTTACGTGTATGCTTTATTACATATTAATAGCACAATGTCAAAACGCTGGAGTAATTCTCAACTGCAGACAAGGCTGACAATCTGCCAGCCATGCAAGGCTCTAGGGCCTGACATGCATATCGCATTTGCATTGCCAGCACACACAAATACACACCACTGATCTTCACTGAAAAATACGCTTCATGGGGACAATGTCATTGATGCAGGAAATTCACTTTGAAAATGTGACCAGCATATGTAGCAATCAGGCATGTTTTTAGATGACAATTAAAAGTCCAGGAATTAAAAGCCTTAAAAAACTAATTCATTACACAGCAGTACCAGTCAATCAATCCTAGCTTGCCCCCCCACCCTTCTCTGAAAAAAAACGAATGACAAAAATTAATGACCCCATATATTATAATTGCCGAGGTATTACACTACACTGTATAAGCAAGTCCCTGCTCTTTCAGATTGCGGCTGGTATGGCAGCAGGGCAGATGAGTGTGACCCATCAGCTTCACGCAGGGTTTAATTCCCGGACCGTGATTAAACAATCCCCCTAACCTTGTTATGCATGCCCACTTACTGTGCAGCTCCGATAAACTGCATTACAGCACACCGCACAATAGCTGCCTAAGTCATCAGAACGGCCACTTCCAACAGAAAAAAGCACATAAAAGATCCCCCCATAGCCTAAATAGACTATTGGAGAAAATGTTCCTCGCAGGCACCCAGACCTGACGTCGTGATTGTGTAATTCTAAAAAAAAATGCATTCATGATGTCTTTGTAATTTCACCTAATAAAGTAGCTGTAATTGTAATAAAAGGACAAGACATCTGCAAGCACATATTACAGCTAGAACAATGCGTGAGGGTTTGATGTGGTGTGGTGGCAATCATGTCGACAGATTGTCTCCCCCAGTTGCTGATTGTTTACACACTGCAGCAGGTACTACTAATTCATGTCAGTCAACATAGAGGAAGCCGAGGTTGCCTCGTCACCGATGTGAGCCGTGACTGGGACTCAGGCAGCTGGGGTCATAGCGCAGTACCATAACAACGTCACCTTGGCTCCCAATGTGCACACACAATGTGCACATACATTTACAACTGCAAACACCTATAGAGCTAAAAGATGGAGTTTGATTTTTAGATGAGAAAAATACATAATCTGGTTATACTGTTGTCGAGTTCTAATTTACATTATTATTTCATGAAAGTAATGGAAAAACATTAAAATCATGCAAAAGTAATGGTGACATAACTCTTAATATACTGATGAAGTAATTTATTTTAAAAATCTAAATGTGCAAGTTACCAGCAACGCATTTAAACTGGGTGTGATGCTCATGAATAGCAGCAGTTGCATGCTAATGCATGTATGGCCACGAGGCTACAAAGAAACCCGGCACACCACAGCGCTGTGACATCTATGGGGAAATGCCACAGTTTGAAAAAGGCGAGCATTTGAGATACTGCAATGCAGCAGTGTGCCCAGCACGTGTGCGTGCAGATTGCAGTGGCTGGCAATCCCACAGAGCTGTGAAAGCTAGTTAAAAAATAAATTTGCTTAAAATTAATTGGCTTCACGCAACAAGCAGGGATGTGTAAGCACGGACTGGCATGGCGGTCTATGTTAAGTGACACTGCAGCCTTGTGTGTGCTCATTGCAGTTTTTTCACCCTCAATCATATGTACATTAAGAGGCTTAAGAAAGTGTCTGGGGCCATTAAATTGATGTATCATCAGGACACTTTTAAATTCTACGTATTTCCTGAAACAGAATTGTCTATGCCTGTGGATATGAAAATTATTGATACGTAAAGTCTTTATACAGCATAATACCGTAATTGGTAAGAAAGTAACATTTCCAAAAAACCGAATACCTGATTTTGGTTTAAGATAGCACTTAACAAATATCCATATATTTAAATTAACAACCAAAATAATGACATCTTACTAAATAGAAAATGTACTTCAGCATTATAAGAGTAATTTATTCTAGACATACATTATATCGGCTTAAATTGGTCTGATTTAGAATGCAAATCGGACCTAGCCCGAAGACCTTCTACAGCAGATCGACTCCATCCACACCAAGTGTCCAAAGCTTTTGACATGCAATGTATGGTATACTATCAAACTGCCAATCAGGCAATTCACTGCAGCTGGACAAATTATGTGCTGGGAAATTTGAAAGAAAAAAAATATCGACTTAAAGCTTTCGTGACTGCAGGAATTCATATTCTTTGGGTCTTTCGGTAAAGTCACGTAGATAGGTTCAAAGAAAATAACATCCCAACCGTTGGGAAAGAACCATCTGAAGATCCAATCAAAACCATCACCTTGCCATACATAGCAGGGGTCACCAAAAATATTTCCAAAATCATGAGCAAACACAAGATCCAGGTTCGATTTAACACAGCACATAAAATTCGTGATCTGATCCCATTTGTGAAGGATGTGATCCCTGACATGCAATATCCTGGCGTCTACAAGCTAAGCTGTGTCTGCGGCAGTAGTTACATTGGGGAAACTAAGCGACATGTCTCGGACCATGTTCGTGAACATAAGGCAGATCTGAAACATGGTAGAGCCAATACTTCGGCCGTCGATGATCAGCCCACTGGCTATCAACAAAAATGCGTTCATGAAGCCATCCATATATACACACAGACACAATTTCAACCGAGAAGATGGGCATAAACTGAGCAATCATTGGAAGGACGTGATCAACCAGTTTAAGTCATAACTGGCTGTGATGTTCCCATCCTACCACCTTCCGATGTTAGTTGTTATTTTCGGCTCTCCGATTTAACATTAACAGGTTATATTTCTCACACCAACATAGCCACCTCCACGTGCCGTACCTCGACGTGGCGGCGGCTCTGCGATCTCACATTAACATGCTAATCTCTCACATTAACATGCTAATCTCTCACATTAACATGCTAATCTCTCACATTAACATGCTAATCTCTCACATTAACATAGCCACCTCAGGGCGCTCGCCGTGGAGGCCGCTCTCCGATCTTACATTAACACGTTAATTTTTACCTGGCAGCCCTTTGACATTAGCTGCCCCACCCATGCTGCTGACACTTGGGCGCTACATAAACAGTTTGCCTTTAGAGGCCAACCCCCTTTTCCTGATGACGACCGCTGGTGTTGCGATCGAAACGTCGTAGTTATTTGTTATTTTCTTTGAACCTATCTACGTGACTTTACCGAAAGACCCAAAGCATATAAAACAAATATCGAGGCTGATTTTGCTCCAGATTGGTTAAAAAAAACATTTTACCTAGTTAGTCACACAGGACCCCACATCCATCACGGCATAGCCTGGGATCCACGGGCAATTACCTCGCATTTGCATCCAAGACTTGGAAAATGTTTTAACTTGACTGAACTCGCTTTGGGGGCTCATCAGTGCTGTAATTGCAATGGGTATGACGGACACCATTAATTTATTTCATTGAAAAAAATGCGGCTAAAATATCTGTGACCTGATTTTTGAGCTCCACGGAAATGAAAAACCTTTAATATTTTTTTCAAGGACAATGGCGATACAATTTGCGGTACACATTAGTTTCCCACAAAATCATTACATAAATATTTAAAACAATGATTCTAAGTGACGAACACATTTAGCAAAAATAATAAATGCATGGAAATCAAATCAATTATGTATGTAATGGGATGGTGTGGATGTTTTAGTTGTTTATTATGCTTATTGTTTAATAAAACCTTTATAGCCTCGTTAAGAGATGATGGTGTTTATTACGTTCACGTAAATATTGGGATTTTTTGTTAGTAATATAAAAATACAGGATAAAAATGTGCTTAACATGGTCAAATTCTCTATCCACATGCATTACATGAAATGTGCATGTATATATCATGTACTTTGATGGAAGCTGAACCTGCTGGGTAATGTAGCCTGTTGATAAGGCCCTTTTTGTTTGGCTGAATATGGATTCAGGGTGGTCTGTGTCATTACACCGTGTCAATGGATAACTTTGCGAAAGCAGTGCTATCTTCAATATCTCCAGACACGCAGGATTCTGGGATTGACCCTCAAGGATAACACACTTTGTGTGGGTGGGGGGGTTACTTCAAAGACATACCAGAGTTCACCTAGCCACCGTGCTAATGTTTGTTTAAGGAGAAGTTTCATCTCCTAAAGCATACACAGTTTTATCTGACACATTATATAATGATCACAATTTGTTTTTATATTTAAAAAGTAGATATAACATGTAAATTAAAACGTTGGTGGTAGGTGCATATCGATTCATAATCAACGATGATCAAACCACTGCAGGTTAAAGGCTTCCCCAAGCTGTAGCCATCTCGCATGGTCGCACGATGCCCATCTAGCGCATGCGCACAAGCTGATTTCCGCATTCAATCTCCGTGATTTACGGTGACTAACACCCCAATTGTTCGAATTCTGTAGTGTATACATACTTGTCCAATCCAAATGTATGACAACCTCAGCGTGCTGTAGCATGAATACATCGTTGACAATATGCTGGAATCCAGTAGCGTGTAAGGAGTACACCATTAGCTGGCATACTATGGGGCCTAACGCTCTACTTAATGTGCATTAGAGTGAAAAATGCAGGTCAATCCACAATGCGACTGCACATGCCTCTGATCAAATTTAACATTAATGGTCATCTGAGAACAATGCACCATTGCATACACCATTTTGTGATCTAACTTTTCAAACGGAGTTGTTTCCCTTTCTGCTGAAGCAGACTTTGTATTCCGTTGCTGTAGTAACGATGATCGTAGGCATTTGAAAAGCAGCTAAGAAACGCGTTTGTATGCTTGGCGGTTAGACTTGACAGTAAATAGCACACTTGCACACCCGTGTCTTTTCCCCATCATCTCCTTTGGTTGTTAGGCAGTCAATCAGGACTTATTCAAATGCAAGTCCTGTCTACGTGGTGATTTTACAAGTCCTAATACCCACAACTGCGATAACGACAATAATACCCAAATTAGTGTTGTTAGTGGGACGGCCTCAATTGTACTGTTTAAATATGGAATAGAACATTGTACATATTTTGCACACCCATGTGTTCATACACACATCCTTGTTTACCTACATAAGCAATACACCAAGTCGCCTTTATTGATATTGTCATGGCCATGATATGCAAGCTGCTGCTCACTTATGCCACACGCTTCTTGGTGGTGCTGCAGACGTTCTTCGGAGAAGACTTTCACCTTAATTAGAAATGTCAAGGCCAGTAACATTAAGCTGGTGGTCATCATGTCATAATGGCATGACCACCACGATGAATGGGCCCCCACAACCTTGGTGCCATATTCCCTCTGTGATGATGCTGAAAATGACCTTTTTAGTAATTGTGGTTGATAATTATAATGATGCTGCTAGAATAATAATGATGGTGATGATGCTAAGATGATCATTTTAGTGATACTGCTAGTGATGCTGATGTTTGACGCTGCTGGTGATAATCATGATGATCATGATAATTGTGCAAAAGGTGCAAATGATGCCGCTGCTGTTGAAGAATGATGGTGGGGCCCTTGCCACTTCACCTCATGCAGTTGATGACAATGCCTCGAATGGTGATTTTGATTGGCAATCACAGCCGAGTTCAATCCCAATTGTAAATGTGCAAATTGTAATGACTTGAAAGAACAATGTATTTGTATATGGAATTTCAGTTAAAATTGCTATTGTAATTGCAGAGTAATTGGCTTGAGGTCTGATGACAATGCTGCTGCTTGTGATGACCACGATATTTCTGCTGATGGTAACATTACAGGGCCCGTGTAAAGTATTTCCATGCTACGGCACGATATAAGATTTATTCCCGTATTACAGTATTAAAATATTTTTTGGTGATGATTCTGCAGCTGATGATAATGAAAATACGTATTCTTGGTTCTTTCGGTAAAGTCACGTAGAAGGGAAACAATAAAATAATAAAAATATCAAACAATACAATTATCACGACGTTTCGACTGCAACACAAGCAATCATCATCAGGTGTGAAAACCACAACAAGAAAATGTTCTTTAAATAAAAAATGAAAATACTTGATGATAATCATGACACTGCTGCTGCGATAACACTTCCATAGGCGATGATCATGCTGTTACTGATCATTATAATGATGCTGAATGCTGATACCGATGCAGGCTGCTAACAATGCCAACACTCATGCAGGCACAATTTTGATTTAAAGCTTTCGTGACTGCAGGGATTCATATTCTTGGTTCTTTCCGTAAAGTCACGTAGAAGGGAAACAATAAAATAATAAAAATATATAAAATAAAAAACAATACAATTCTCACGACGTTTCGACTGCAACACAAGCAATCATCATCAGGTGTGAAAACCAGAACAAGAAAATATTATTTTATTGTTTCCCTTCTACGTGACTTTACCGAAAGAACCAAGAATATATATACAGGCACAATTGTTGCCGATTACGATCATGCTGCTACGGATAAGGATTTTGCTGCCGATGGTTAACCCTGACGGCAATGACAATTCCGCCGGTGATTATGTTCAAGAATGCTGCCGACACTATTTTCACCGATTCTTATCTTAATGTTGATGCAGATATTCATTGCTGTTGCTGCGCATGGGTGTTGTTGCTAATGATTCTAATGATGATGCTGTACAATCAATGGTACCGAGTTTCCTTCTGCTGCTGATGATGCTGCTGCTGCTGATCTCAATGCACCCGATGTCAAATGAGACTGGTCGCCTCGAGATCTTACCTAGTTAAATAAATTATCATGAATGCTGCCGTTGATGACGATCCTGCTCATGCTGCTGATTATGCTAATCATGTTGATTATGTTCAATTACGTTCCTGATCATCGACGTCGCCACGCACTCGTCAAGGATGCTGCGAATGATGGTGATAATATTTAATATTGCAGCTGCTGTTAGCTGCACCTCGCTCACTTGTCGGCGTCGATGACACTAATGCTGTTATCAATGATTCTTATTATGTTTAATGGGCCAAATGATGCTTCTGATGTCCGGGGCACGGCTTTACCTGTCATCTGCTGCTGTTAATGCTGGCGATATTTATTTATTTATACTGGTATTGTTAAATCTATTGCTGCTGATGTTTATTGTCAACAAGTACTTCTGATGATGATAATGACGCTGCTACTGATGTGTTTCTGAAACTTATGTTGCTCATGTTTACGATGATGCTGATGCCATTCAACCCGATGTTGTTACCCTTCCTTATTCATTGTTTTCTTGTTCGTGTTTTTGTTTTTTTTTGTTTGTTGTGGTTGTACCCGATTCAAGAGCCGAATGGCTCACAGGGCTATACCAAAATAAATAAAAATGAAAACTGAATGATGCTGCCGATACGGACGCCGCTGGTGGCGTTGCTGCTAATGAGGTTTAATGTGACTGCTGATGGCTAATGATGATTCATGTTGCCGTTGTTTCTGCTTGTGTGTAATGTTGCGGATGCGGTCTACAATGATGTCCATGGTGATGATGCGGATTACGCCGCTGATGGCGATATCCCATGTTGCTGCGAGAGGATGTTGATGCTGGGTGTTGCCGATGCTGCTGCTGCCACTGATATTGTTGCGACTGCAAATTAAGCTACCGTTGATGCTACTTCAGCTGTTGAGGGTGATGATGATACTGCGGAAGATGCCAGTGTTTAATGTTGCTGCGACTGATGATGCTGTCGCTGCTACTGCTCAATTTGCTCTTGATACCGTCAATGATGCCGTGACTGATGTTGAATGTTGCTCCTGATGGTAACGATGTTGATGCTGCTGCTACCGATGATGTCGCTGCCACTTGTCACGATGCCGATGATCGTGACGATGCGCAAAGCACACTCACTCGTCGTCTCGGAGCCCCTCCGCCTCCCCCAGGGCTCGCACCGGGGCCAGCGCCTCGGTGGGGGCGTTGAAGTTCCTGAAGCAGGCGGTGAGCTGCTCCTCGAAGCCGCTCACCAGGTCCTCCATCGACTGGAAACTGCAGCCCATGTCTCCCGAGAAGTTGTCCAGCTCCCCCAGCTCTTCCGAGGTTGAGCAGGCCACCTTCACCACCCCGGTTCCTCCTCCTCCACCACCACACGCATCGCGACCACCACTACCATCGCCGTCGTCGTCGTCCTCGTCGGCGGCGTTGGCCGCGTTCGAGTTGAGCGAATCGTCGAGCTTGGAGGCGGCCGAGAGAGGCGGCTTGAACTCGTTAAAGTCCTGCCAGTCCTCGTCGAAGTGGGCCAGCGGCGCGGCCATGTTCGCGCCTCTCATCACTGTCTCTCTCTCCTCCTTCGGTCTCCGTCTCCTCCTCCAGTGTCTGCCTCCTCCTCCGGTGTCCGGCCTCTTGTTGTCTCCCGCCTCTCGTTGTCTCCCGCCTCCTCAGCCGCCTCAGCCTCCTCCTCCTCCTCGCCTCTTGTTGTCTCCCGCCTCCTCAGCCTCCTCCTCCTCCTCGCCTCTGCAATTGGAGCGGCTCGGGACGAGCAGATTTCCCAGCACGCACAAAAGCGCGGCACCGCCCCGTGTGGAGGGCGTCGATCACGTGCTGCGTCTAGAGCCAATTGGCGCGCGACTCGCGTGGCGGTGGCCGCTTATGTGAACTGGGAAAGAAAACAGAAGTGGGGGCGGGTTGGGGTGGAAATGGGGGGGGGCGGGGGGGGGGTGTTTCTCGCGCATGCGCACTGAGTGTAAGTGGGACGGCAGGGCGAGCGCAGTCACGTGACGCGGGCATGAGGTTGATCAACTGAGATTAATTGAGATTAATTTAAACAACAAAAATTTTGAAAATAATTATCACGGTTTTTTTTCTTCAGAGGAGGACCTACAAGTAAATAGAGCTACTTTACTGTTTCAGTTTGAACTTGAACGACAAATTAAATGTGGATTAAAATGTTGTTCAGTGTTCACAACTTCTGGGTTCTTTCGGTAAAGGCACGTAGAATGGAGATAAAATAATAAAAATAATATAAACAGAATAAAATTTTCACGACGTTTCGGCCACAACACAAGTAGCCTTCCTCAGGTGAAGAAACAGGACTGTCCGGAAGACAGCGCTTGAGTGAACCCTTTAGACTATAAAATATTAGACTTGTAGTATTACACTATGTATTATTCTACTAACCCTTCTGTATACCACACTGCTGTATATTCACTATACAATTACGGTACTATATATTGCCTTATGAATTATGTTAAACATTACACTGTTATCCTATTTATTATTATACAAAATGCTATAAACTATACTATTGACCGTCGTGTGAAAGGTACTAAGAGGCAGCGCCAGCAAATGGACTGCGGTCTGAAAGTCACCGTAAAATACAATCAATCAAGAACCGAAATGGTTTATAACGTCTTTCCAATGGTTACTAAGTCGGAATCCATCTTCTCGGTTGAAATTGTCTCTGTGTTTGTTTATGTGGATAGCCTCATGAACGAATCTCTCATGGTAGCCGGATGGCTTGCAGAGAGTCCATTCGCTGGCACTGCCTCTTAGTACCTTTCACACGACGGTCAATAGTATAGCTTATAGCATTTTGTATAATAAATAGTATAACAGTGTAATGTTTAACATAATTCATAAGGCAATGTGTTTACAACTCATGGGGGCCACTCCACCACCACTCCAGTGAAGGTTCTCCAAAAATCCGGCGAAATGTTGGCGTTGTGGTGGTCTGGGGCATGGAGACCGAATGAATTTATATTATATTATATTCTTAGCTCTTTCGGTAAAGTCACGTTGAAGGGAAACAATAAAATAATAAAATCTATATAAAACAATACAAATTCTGCGATTATCTTTTCTTGTTACATGCACTTTTTTCTCGTTATTTATGTATTAAAAAACTGTCCTCAGTAGTGGGGTTTTGTTTTGATACGTTGTGTACCGAACTGGATAATTGATGTGCAGCGTTGTTGAATGCAATTGCATGAATGACGCTAAAGAAAATGAAATTATTAAATATGAGCAGAACTTTGTTCTGTGTATATATATGAACAGTTTTGTTTTAACAAATCAATTGAGATTACTCACAGCAGTAATCATCGCCATTTAGTGGCACACACATGTCCGTTTGCAGGCCGGGTGCCGAATTACCTCGTGTGCCCACAGGGACAGCTGCCACTGGGGGTGCCTCTTTCCAATCAATGAGTTGAGATACGGTGTGATTTAAAGCGTTCTGAGCAGACCTGGCGTGAATGGCGATAGATTAAAAGCCAAAGCATGATTACTACATTTGTTTGATCCACGATTCTTTGAGCAGGGGGCGATGTCGCTGTGTATAATCCCAATTGAGTACTGTGTGGGCAGGTCATTTATTCAGGATTCAAATTTTTGGCCAATACCAATTAAAAATTTTTTTTACAATATATTTGAGTCTTATCATCAGCAAGCAACATTTAAGCAAGCAAATACCGGACCGGTTTCCACCTTTTGGCTCCCATCAGCAGTCAGGCTGGTTAAATGCAGCAGGATCACCAGTTATTGGAAGGAGCACTCCATATAAAACTCTTACTTCATATTCTTGGTTCCTTCGGTAAAGTCACCACGTAGAAGGGAAACAATAAAATAATAAAAATATAAAACAATACAATTCTCACGACGTTTCGACTGCAACACAAGCAATCATCTTTGTGTTGCAGTCGAAACGTCGTGAGAATTTTATTGTTTTATATTTTAATTATTTTATTGTTTCCCTTCTACGTGGTGACTTTACGGAAAGAACCAAGGATATGAATCCCTGCAGTCACGAAAGCTTTAAATCAAAATTTAACTCCTCTTACTTCGTTTATGGGGCATTGGTAAATCTGCTGGTTGGAGGACCTTCCAATACCGTGCGGTTTATTTAACCGTATATCATGACTACAGTGGTGAATGGGAGTGAACGCGGGAAGCACAGACGTAGGAGCATACACATACAGCACATGAGTACATTGTGGCATTAATGTCCTCTGCTGTCCACATCGGATAGCCCGGCATCAGCCTACAATAACCTGACATGCACGGTGGTTGCCCAACCAAGCACTATCCAGGCCGAAACCTGCTGATTAGCTAGCTTCTAACAATAAGACAAGACTGGGCACATTTATGGTAATATCGTCAGGCAATTTAGAGCATCGTACTGTAACAACGATGTATTTGCTGCACTGCCCTCTGCAGCCCACGTGGTGTCTCTATTTTAGAAGGGTCCTACGATGATTGCCACGTATTATCCCAACACTGTCGTTTGCATTCTGGGTAAAAGGCGATACAAATAAAATTGTCAATCCATCAGCACTCCTATCGTGTTTTTTTGTTTTTTTTATTCTAACGTACTGACCCACCCCTACTGGACATCCGTGAGAAAAAAAGCTTTATAACTCATGGGATTCCTCCAGTATAAATACATTCTGATTCTGAATACCATCCAACAACATTTGCTTCATAAAGAAAAGTGGACTGGTGTCGACTGCGAGCCAATCTAGCTAAACAACTGCTTTTGGATTACCTAATGCTATTGGCAAGAGCACTTCGTCAACACGATTGCGCACCATGCCTGGCTGTTGTTCAACAATATAGTAATTGAAATAGATCTACGTTCCGATCTACGTTCTTCACTCAGATTATGAAAAATATGAGTTCACAACAAGGCCTCTCCTGACCAATATCAGTGTTCACATCAAATAACTAGCCTATTGCCCGTCCAAGGACGGGTGTATTGCAGTAAATCTGAAACTTGAAAGCGAAAAGCAGACCGCGACGTGATATTTATTGCATCCATTCGTGCGCAGTTTGTAAGGGCGCGGTGACACAGACCTATTTCATTTTAAGGTTATAATCCCTTGTTCATCACGACGTCCTTTTTACTTCTATGTCTCAGTAGCGTTACGGAAATCACGTGACGTGAGGGTTCTGCCTTTGTAGTGAGGGTTGTAAGTTGACGCCGAGGAGGGGGGTGGAGGCGCCACGCCCCCCATGTGGAGCGACGTCACCCGCTAATTAATATTAATGACGGGGTGTCCATGTGGAGGACCTCACCTGTTCATGATTATTAATGAGGGGGGCTGGCCGACGTGGAGTGACGTCACGCACGGGACATAGACATTCTTGGCTCATAGTATATTAAACTAGCTAGCTTTGTGTAATATGGTCAAACAATCCACATGACTGACAAATAGTGGGGATTGAGACCGTCCAGCAGTGGATTGAGAAAGGACTGTAAAATACATAATTAGCGGTTTTAGCGATGTTGACAAAACCACACACATTTTGTGGTATGAAGATGTAATCACGAGTTTCATCGCTGCAATCATCCACATATCTGCCTTAGTATTGGCGAAATACATCCTATCAATGAACAAAACAACTCACATTCGTCATTAACACTGCCTTAAAGGAAATTAATAGGTAACGTTTCAGGCAATGACCCCCTTTATCATACATATATAGAGAGGCCAGAGAGATCGATTGGAAGACTGCACCTTACAGGCTTACACCGTTGGTCCTAATGAGAATAAATCAAATTTCGATTTAAAGCTTTCGTGACTGCAGGGATTCATCTTCTTGGTTCTTTCGGTAAAGTCACGTAGAATGGAAACAAAGTAATAAAATAAAACATAATAAATCAATCATTTTCTGATAACCATTTTTTTATTTGCATATTAATTTATCTAATGTAAACTATTGAGTAAGACAGACTGTTCGATAACCAAAAGGAAAACATTACTGTGTCAAATGTTGCTGGCACATTGCATTTCATCATGTCGCTTACGGCGGAGTAAAGTTTACCGAATTGTGTAGACCACCATCTCCAGTAGGTTTTTTTCCCAAAAGCTTCTGTAAAAACTGGTGTGGTCAACGGCGCTTTATTTACAGCAGAGCCTCAACACCATATTCAATAAAGTGGAGTAACATGGAGATAAGGGGATACAGTAGTATAACAATGTCCTTCCATCTGCTGGTCATCTCACATCCCAGCTGACTGGAGAGTTTCACAAATCTAGAGTATGTAGCCGACTAAACTCTTGGGATTCATCTTTCATATTCGCTTATGCATTATTGATTTATCTACTCTTATTTCGGTCCTTTGTTGCTTAACACTTGAATTGCACGTTGAAGGTAATTTAATTAAAAGTACGTCCATTTTTTATGCAACAGTTTCTGTTTTTGCTGTTACGTTTAATATTTCATTTTCAAAGTACCTTTTTCATTTGTGGTGCTTTTAATATTCCTGTGGTGTTTATTCACGTTTGTTAAGGTTGAGCATGCTTGGAATTACACCGCGAGACCGAAAGTGGAACACACTTAAGTCCAAGACATCACATTGACTCTTAGGAAAACGAAAGGACGTTTGGACAGGCCGCATGACTGCAAGGGATGATGGTCGGTGTTCGAGACTTACAGTGGAATGGCAGCCAAAGGTGCGT